TTCTAGGCCGCCCGTGAGTTCGCGGCGAGCCGTGCTATGCCATTGTTTGGGACCACAAAAAAGTGGGACCAAGCCATAATCTCTCATTCGAAAATAGGCTTAAAAATGATATTAGAAAAAATCGCTGGCGGTCAATATTTCAGCTTCATCGTCTCCTCGTAATATTTGACAAATGAAGGTTTTGCGTTGAGCGCTCCGAGAGCATCAAACTTGCCGAATGTGTTGTTAATTAAACGACGGATGGCACGAGCAAAAAAAATTGTTGTTGTTTTCTTTTTTTTTCATTAAAAACGCCGTCGAATCACAATAAAAGACACATTTGGCGGCGTGTTTCGGACCCCCCTAATCCTCATCCATTTGTGTTTGTTTCTATTTCACGGCTGCCAATAATTCAGAATTTCAAGTTTCGCCGGTTATTTTTTTTGTTTCGTCGCCGTTCTCGCGTTTGTTTCTCTAATCCCACCGAAATTTTGAGGAACAAAAAAAACCCTTCGGCTCGCCCCATTTTTTTCCACGTCTTTTCGCCCGCCTTCAATCATTTTTTTCCTCAAAATTCTCCAAATCTGATTAAAGCCGACATTTCTTCTAAAACGTTACGGATTATATGATTATTTTCCATTCTCAATAGTGCAACCATTCTCAATGGAGCGCACATTCACCACCGTCAAGTATTCAAAATTTGATCCGACATTCACTGCGCGCAAACCTCCGAAACTGTCCGCAGATATTATTTAATATATATCAGCTAGTTTAAATGGTATGATGTAACTTTGATGAATATTTTAAATCAAATAATTCCGTATAGTCGGTGCCTATCAAAAACAAAAAATTCTGTAATAAAATGACGACGACGTGATAATTGGCGAGTTTCGGCGGCTGATGCAAACGCGGCTCGTATATCTGATGCAACTCATATCAGAACAATTTGGGGAAATTCGCTGAATTTTGAGCGGTGCCGCTTATCGCGATACGCCCACCCCCGCGAATCGTCTGATTACACACAAATTGCTCCCGATTTTGGACTTTGGCAACGATTCCATATTTTTGTTTCAATTTTTTTCTCGATTCGAAAACGATTCCCCCCGATTCGCGATTTGCATATGTACTGTAATGTTCGACTGTTGATCATATGACGTTGTTGAATTTCAGCCAAAAAAACGAGTTAGAGAATATTTTCGATTTTTCGCTCGCTCAGACTTTGCGGCGCTATCATATTATTATTAGGAAAATGGGGGTCTTCGAGAAGATTTTCAGAGATTATTCAATATTTTAACTGGATAATCTCGACAAATTGAAAAAAAATAATTTTAAGCCTTTCACAAGAATTACTTGGTAGGCGCGCGGTCTTCTATACGCCATATGCATCCCATCGCTTATGGTTCTGTGCTTGGTGTTTTGTCTAACACGCGCGCTGGCTCGCAAAAGGTCGCGAGTTCGACACCTCGTCATGTCACAACAAAAAGTGCTCCAAAACACTCGCTGATATATTAATGTTTGATTAGACTTTCAATCATAATAATAACACGACGCAGTTTGCGTGCTGATATCGAATTTGTGTGTTCACGATTTTCGATGTCGATATGCAAATTTGTGCGCCTCTGCAACATAAAAACAAAGCACAATTTGGAAAATTCAACGAAAAATGCGTTTTTGATAAGCCTGAGGTTGCGATGCGCTCCGCCTCCCATCAACGCGACCGAGTAGGTGGGGAGGTTTTTTGGCAGTTTCGCGAAACATTTGATAAATTTTCAACTGTTTCAGTCGACTCTTCCGCAACGCCTACCAAAACCACTATCTCTGTTAATATATTTTATTTTTCGTTTCTCTGCATTTGTGCGAGTATTACTCGATTCACTGACTATGTCACCCAGCCATCCAGCGCGCCAGACCGCCTGTTTCCACCTCCAAACACAATTTTTTTTGTTCTCTTCTTTTTTCGTCGTCTTCTTCTTCTTCTTCTTCTTCTCCTCCTCCTCTGTTTGATATCGCAGTTGGGGTCATTGTCAGAATCATATCATTTTGGAAAAAAAAAAGTTCGCCACGCTGCTGTCTCGCGTTTCTCGATTACCTTCGATGATTCGTTGCATTGTTTTGTTTTAGACGCGAGCGGGTTTTTTTTTCGTCGCGTCTTCATGGGTGACCCTTGTATTTGTTGTTGTTATTGTTTTTTTTTCGCTCAAGTCCAGTTCTCACAAAACTTTTTTGCAAAACGTCACCGATGATGTAACGGGTAACGAAACCCCGAGTCTCTTTGTGGCAACACAGATAAACGGCAGCATAGGCACAATGGAAGCATAATGGAACGGCTGTGGATATCATAGGAATCTTATATGCAAGTTATATGGAAGCATAATGGAAGCATTTTTTGCGGAACCGCGTGTTTCGTATATGGAATGAGCCGTATGCCTTCCATATGGGCAAATAAGAAAACAATTTGATTGCTGTATTCAAAATTTATTTCATATTAACACATTTATTTAATTTAAAATAAAAAAAAACAACAATGAAATGAATTTCAATTAAGATATAATCAAACCATTAGTTACTGGCAACTGCCGAACTATTCGAATCATTGTCAGTACTGACATCGAGCGGGACGCTGTAATAAGTAGAATTCATATCGTTCACACTTGGTTAAAAAGCCGTGTTATGATATTTTTAAAAACAACAACTATTGCTAAGAAATTAGGCAAAAGTCCTAATGCACATTTAACCTATCCTTTTTTCGCAAATATACGCTTGTAGAAAGAAACCGTTATCGAATTTTTACCTATTCTCCACTTTTCCTAGTCGCTACACTTCGATTATAATGGGCCTATTAATTTGAAAAACTTGTAAACCATTGTTACGTAAACAAAATTTTTCGAGAAAATACAATCAGTTTTTTTTTACATCAATAATTTTCTTAAAAATAAAAATAATTTATTTTTATTGCATTTTTGGAAACCCTTTAGTGCACAAAATAAAAAGTGAATTGGCGGAAGAAAGAACAACTCCAAAATTTGAAGCAAAAAGGCATTTTGGTTAAAATTTCAAAGACATATGAATACTCACATCTGAGGGTTGCTGGTAGAATCAAGCAGCTTCCTTAATTGCGCCGCGAGCGCTTCCGGCGCTACACCAAATTTCCTTTGAAGTCGTTGGCGCATTCTATCGCTTAATCAAATAAATAAATTAATAGTCATAGTTCAAAATCTTACAGAAGATTATCCATGACTTCTCGAACCATGCGTAATGCTTTCGCTTTGAAGTCATTTGTCGGTTGTTGCCCAAAGCCATGGATAAGAGCATCTGTAATATAGATATTTGCAATAAAGTATAGGATCTTTATATAGTCGGCGTCTGGCGACTTCTGTACTAGAGCCCCACTTAAAAAGATAAATGCCACTGAATGATATTGGTACGAAGGCTGTACGGCAATCGGAAATTTCGGCGATTCGGCTAATGGCAAATTACCGATCGAAATTTTCTTCGGCAATTTGAAAAACCGGCAATTTCGGCAATCGGCAATTCCATTGCCGCACAGCCCTGATTGGAACCAAATAATCAACAAGCTTTAAACTTAGGAAGTACTTTATAAAGACTTCATTGCGCATATTTTTCTAATTGAAACCATTTCTGGAGTCGAACAGGCCAATTTTTGATGATAATAACTTACAAATTGGGCGTACGAAGGTTTAGGAATTGGCGTTGATTTTGTTGTTTGTGAGGACTGTGGAGAAAAATTTTTTTGCTGAGTTGGCGAGTAAATTGGACTATCTGGATCTGAAGTGTCGAGCGAATTTGGTTCCATGTTAGGGACTTCTGGTTCTTTGTTATTGACTTCTAGAGCAGTTTCAGTTATATCTGACAACACTCTCGATCTTGTCTTCATCTGTAAAAAATTTCAAAACATTATGTTTTATTAAAAGAAAAAAGCGAGCGATAATAAAAAATATGTTAAAGTAAATAAAAATAAAACGGATTCGATGAGAAATTAAACACAATTCGATTGAGAAAATATTTAAATTCGATTTTAAAAGTGTCGGAAACGATTTGAAAACATCGTATCGATTTTAAAATTTTCGAATGATGATAAACATGAAAATTTTTCCTTTATTTTTTAAAAACATTTTTCCTTTAATTTTGAAAAAAATTCTTTAATTTTTGACAAAAAAAAAAACACAAAAAATCTTGAAAATTCATTGAGAAAAAGCAAAAGGACAAAAATTTTGAAAACGAATTTCGAAAATGTGAGGCGTGGCCGCATTGTGCAAAGCGGCGCACGGTTTTGCAATGCTGCGGCACGCCTCTTCTACGCGCGTCTGCTACCAGTTTGGAGCAAATTGTGAGTAGTTTGCGATGCCAATTTCGGAAAAACCGGCAAAAATATATTAATACGACTAAATTGTAGTTGGCAATCTTTAAACAAAGTGAGGAACAGTTGACTGAATTAACATAAATCTGAGTAACATAAGTCATTAAATGGTAGAAGCTAAATTTCGTCCGTTGTGTATCATGTAATTTTCAAATTTTCATTGTTTATATGATAGCATAAGTTTTTTGTATTGATTTTTCTAGAAATTGTCTTGGTCTGCCGTCCAGACGCCAATTGTATAATGTGTAATGATATATGATTATTTTATCCATATTTCATCCATATTTGTTCCACGGCTCGCAAACACCGGAAGCATATTCATCCCGTTTTCATTCCATCCATATTCGTCCCATATTTCTTCCACAGCCACTAAGAATTACATTATGCTTCCTATATGGAAGCATTATGCTTCCGTTCCACAGATTTCCCACAATACTTCCATTATGCTTGCGTCGCGCTTAATCAGTGAACATCGCCCTGCGCAACTGCGCCTTCGGTACCTGGAGAGGTGGTCGCAGATCACCAAATATCCATAGCTCGAGCGCTTTCCCCCAAAAAATTGATTCGACCTTGCATTTTTTTTTATGACCGTCAATTTTTTCGTTTAATTCGGTCACCTCAAAATCTATTCGAATTTCCAGAAATGGATAGCCTGATCGTACCAACATCGCCAGAATCGCCACTAGCCGCCGCCGCCGCCTCGGCCGTCGGCGCTCCAAACACGGAAATCTGGGAGGTGGTGCTCGTCGCCTCGTGTCCCGTCATTTTCATCGTATTCCTTTGCCTCTGCGTCATTTGTCTGGTTGTGCGAAGCTATGAGCAACGTGAGCATCAACCATTATCGACATATGTATATCGAGTATTGTTTCAGCGAACATCGCAGACGTGCGCCCAATCCGCCGCCAAAACACACCAATCGCCTCGATTCTTCGCCAATTGCCGCCGCCGCCAAAATACGACATCGGTGAGTCTTCCGCCGGAAATCTTGCAAAAAAAAACCCGATTCATTTGTCACAAAAAAAAACCATTACCAATTCATCAAATCTCTCATCGTTTCAATTCGTTTGATTGATTTCGACTCCAAAATTCGACGAAATCTCATTTATCAGACAAGCTACCGAACAAGTCAATTTTTATGAGCTTCTATTAATAGAATTTATGACGTCAGCGAGAAATAAGTAGATTGAGGTAGCTGGAACTTCCTTCTGAACGTGACATTTTAAATACAATTTTAAATTGTACCTTTTAAGTTTAAAATTGTTTTTTGGTTAAAACAGAACAAATTCGACATAATTAAAAAACAGTAGTAAAATTTTAGAAGAAACAAAAACGAAAAAGAATAAAACTTCTCGCCATAAATTGAAACGACAGAAAATTCTGTAGTTTTTGCGTCGCGGTGTTTGCACAGATATTTCGCTTACGCTTTACAGTAATCTTAAATTTTTTTAAATTTTTAGCCTGTTTTCAACTTTTTCATAAAAAAGCTTTTAAATTTGAATAAATGTAGTAATGACAGAAAATATGACAATTTTAATTATTCATTTATATATATATATATATATATATCTTTACTCTGTCAGCTGATTCAAATAATTTCGATTTTTTGGCAAATTTTCGAAACCCCCCAAAATTAGTGATTTTCACTTCTTATTTTTTAGCAGTCTTGTCTGTCGATGCCCCACCACCATTGTACACCGACATCGGAAAAGAGCCGCCACTGCGCACGACGCCATCCGGCGGCCGTCCGATTCTTCATCGCCAATTCGCTGAACATCGTCATCTGACGACGCCGACAGTTCAGCCGCTCAATATTCAATATTTGTATCCTCCAAGATATGAGGTAATTAATTAATTAACAAAATTAGTTGTCATTTACTAAAATGGCAAAGTTGAATGATACTATCCGTAAAAAGGGCATGCAAATATTGATAATTCATATATATTTTTTTCAAACGAAAATTGTCCGCAGATGGGAAATATTAATAAATCTTACAGGCCGCTGTCGATGAGACCGCCAACAAACCCAACGCGACCACCACCACGCCGCCTCGTGTAGCTCACGTCGTCGTTGAGTTGACACCATCGTCGTCTTCCGGGTCTTCGACCACCTCTACCTCCACCTCATCCTAATCACCTTCCACTGATTTGTCATTCATCTCAATTCGCTTTGCTCATTCCGCAATCATCTTGTTCATTGATTCTTTCCTGTTCCGGGTGCCACACTTCATGATATTCCACAACCACAAGCAAAAAACCAGCAACAATATTGTTTTATCGGGTCCATTTTATGATATATATATATTTTTTTTTTTGGTTTTTTTTCAAATAGATTTTTCATTTCTTCTAGGTCTCGCTTTAATTTAAGCTTCTTTTATAGTATTTTGAAAGAATAATAAATTTCCCAATTTTTGTTCGCACCAAACAAACTTTTCGCGTCGAGCCCTATAACCATACCAAAAATGCTCGAAATGTTGCCGTCGAATGCCAATTTGAGCTTTTATTATCTCAAAAATGTCTCAAATTTTCGCGCGACATATAGTCAACGTCCGGCGCGACACGCGGGTAGATTTACGGGGATGCGTCTTTCGAAATGGTCTCGCCCGGACCAACAGGTTATTTCAAATTTTATGGTCCCGCTTCCATAATTTTTTAATCGAATGACGTTGGAAATTCAAGGAAATGCGAAACTCATAAAAAATGAAGCTGTTCACGTGAAAACAGCAAAATAAGCATTGACGCGTGGCGAGACCTTTTCAAGGCGCATACGCGTAAATCGACCCGATACCGTAATTGTTTGATCGCAATTCGTTTGATTGGCCCGCCGGTCAGAATATGGACTTTGCGATTGTTCGCATTTGCATGAATTATGTCGATTTTTGAATTTGGCGCGTGAAAAAGATTACGATGCGCACGCGCATAACCATAAATAAACTATGGAAATCGATAATGATCGGGGGTCTCATCGCGAAATTCTTTTGAATCCGAACCATGAGAATTATGGAGGTGGCCCTTTAATTAGGGTCCTGCAACGAGTTGAAATTTTTCTGAAAAAATTTTGTGCTTCTGAGTTGATTGGTCTCGAAACGATTTCGCTTAAATATTCCTATAGAAACGCGACGCCATGAATTAAATTGTTTTGAGTTTCTCAAAAGGTTTTGTTATGCGCCTTTAATTAGGGTCTTGACACAAATCAGAAACAACGTTGTTATTTGAAATCGAAACTGCAAATTTCGGGGTTTTCACGATTTGAGGAAACAGGAATTTGGCGATTTAAGAATTGCGATTTTCAAAACAAATTTCAGAATTTATTTCGAGAAAACTGTTGATTAATCTAAAATGTGTATGGTCGACTGTTGTAGATTTACGGGATGCGCCTTTCGAAATGGTCTCGCCACACACGTGAAGGCTTTTGTTGAAAATTTCTGTTTTTTTTTTTCATTCATTTAAATTCTTAATATCACTGAAATAAAATATCAATGCTAAATTGTTGTGTTCCGTGCGAGACCCACGTAAATCTACCCGAGTACAGCAGTCGCAGTTGAATAAAATGAGGATTGAAAGAACTAATGATAATTGAGCACCACGAATGTCAGAAGCCGTTCAATTAAGACAACATTTAGAAAATTAGGTAAAAAAAAATCAGAAAATTAAGCGCAAAAACTCGCCGAACAAAAAATGTACGTGACACACGCACGCAAAACCGCACACATTTGATTATTTTGAATGAAAAATTGAATTTAATTGAAAATCGATAATTTGGAAAATGGATTTGAAATCATTTATTTAAATGTTCATTACTTGTTGAAGGGCGATCCAGGTCCTTAGCTTTATCGGATTATTAGGGTCCCAGTTACTGGTGATCTCTAATCCAATCCATCTCATGGGAGGCATTCCTCCTGGCCGTGCTGCATATCATGGTCCCCAGGTCTAGTTTCCCCACTTCAATACAATATGGTATGTTACTGTAGCCATAATTTCAGCTGTGTCGTTCGAATTGCTTCCAATTTCATAATAACTACTTTCGCAATTTGAAAATAATCTCAGAGAAGCAAAAAAAAACAATCGAACATTTTTTGTTAATTATAGCCGTGCAAGAAAAAAAATCTTGAAGCTTGTTAAATACTGCATAGTATTTGATGTCAAAATGTCGCATTATTACTTTTTTTTTGAGCAAAGAAAAAAATTAAGCAACCAAAACTCAACTAATTGCAATATCGTTGAAAGGTTGGCGCGACATTCAAATCTACGGTAGGACTACGGTCGACGAGACATTTGAAACAGCACGACAGCCGGATTACGGTAGGCGACATGAGATGGGGGTCCCCCCGACGAAAAAATGAATAAGGAGAGGACAAATCGAAAACATTCTTTGAGATGATGTTTCTAGTTTGGTGTCGAATTCAATTTCTTCGCGTGCGGTCGATTTGAGTGAGCCCGAGTTTGAGCTATACGAGCGGCAGCAGCAGTTGGCGGCGGCGAGCAGGTGTGTGTGTGGCCGCGCGGAAGAGCCATCGAGACTAGTGTAAAAAGTTGTCGATTGGCATTTGTCTATCAATCGGTAAATTTCAGACATTCCCCCAAAAAAATCGCACATTGTTGTGGCGGCAATTAATTATAGTTTCGCGGAAATGTTTTGCACAGAAGACCAACATTTCCTTTTTTGGGTTTTCGACACGCGAAATGCCGCGGCGCCTTCTTCGAGCCTACAGTTTCCCACCGAAATAGTGCATCCGAATGTCAACGAGCGAACATTAAATTTCAATGCGGAAAATGTTGCATTATAATTAGAGAGCAAAAAATTGCAAGTTTTTTTTTTGTTTTTTGCTCGAAAGCACAAAATGTTGAAAATTTGATGAGAGCATGACCAGATGAAAGTCATCGTCGCAAAGCAATGATGGTCCTTTGAATTTGGTTTCTTTCGAGGTTTTTTTCTTTAGCTATGGTCTCACCACGATATCCAATTATGCGATTTAGCTCGAAGAATATTTTTGGATGGTTTCATGTTCATTTATACAGATTCTGGGAGGACTCGTTTTATTTCTTCTTTTCGATTCCGCAAAAAAAATAAAAATCTGGTTTTTCAAATTTTCTTTTATTTCTGAAAAAAACGCATTTTTAGAGTTTTTTTTTCCCAAAACCGCCTATGGTTTTTTTTACTAATTTTTTGAATACCTTCTTTTGCAAAATTGTACCATTAAAATTGAATTGGAATTCCAGGTTAAATTAATTTTTGAGGAATCTGAGAGTTTAGTGCATCTCCAACAGACGTTGCTTGAATGAATACATGCTCCTTGAAACATGGTCTCGCCACGCAGACAGAATATACCATGTGAAAGCCGGGGTTTGGGTATCAAGAATTCTGAAAATAAATCCTGAAAATTTAAAAATATGTGCTTTAAATTAGCCATACCAAATTTTGAAATTCTCGATTTTCATTTGTCTCAAACGTTCCAGACTCCGAGTAGTACAGTACGCTGAATGTCTCGATGCCATTTTCTGCAACTTGCATTCATCTCCTATAAATGGCGTTAAACTATTTCAAAAGTTCGTTTGCCCTATTCGAAATCGAATCCATAAATAGTACAATTCGACATTTGTTTGATAAATGCGGTCTCGAGCCGGCGGTGCGACGAGCCGCCAGCTCATTTTTCCCCCAATTATCTCTTTTGCCGTCCCACTCAACTTCCCGACCAAATGGGTCGAGTGGTGTGGATGCGTGAGTGAGCAGCGCCTACACACGCAAATAAACGCTTCATCCAATTAACCGATGAGAAGCAACAAAAAAGTCAAATTGGTCCAGCTCAAACTCATTATGATCGCACTCATTTCATTAATAATTGTTTGAGACTCGACGCAAAGACAATGCCGATGGCATCGCACGTTCGGAATCAGAAGATGAGCACGACGTCATTGACATTCTGGAATTAATGACCTGATGATCTAATGGGTGACGCGAGTTCGATCAAAAGCTTCCGGGTTCGGAAGCGATCGTCAAATTTTTGAATCGACCGATTCAACGCATTTTTTTGCTTTCTCCATGTGTTAGGTGTTGCCAAGTCTAATTACTCCACAATTTATATATTTATGTATAATATATAATTAGAGGCGACCTGAGGGGGGGGAGGGGTGGGGTGGGAGGAGGGTAGCAGTTCGAACCACCGAACAAAAACTGGGCGGAGCTCACGATGCGAATCTGCGAAGAGGTTCACACAAACACACACACTCACACATTGTGCAAACTGCTGCTGCTCCACCCTCGCCTTATTGAGCTGTAATGAGGTTCGATATCACCACTGCCAAACAATTGTCTTCAATTTCAATTATTATGGTGAGTCGCATGAATGTCTGAAATAGCGAGCAGCGGACAAATGGGTCCCAAAACCAGAAGGACGAGGAGAAGCTGAAGAGTCGCTCTTTGCAAGTAGAATATCTTATAATAGATATTGTACGCAAATATGGAATACAAATTGGAAGTCTAGAAAATTTGGAGCTGAACATCAATTTTTCAAAGATCTTTCGACTGATTTTCCATTCCTCAAAAATCTCGTCTTGACGAATCCCGAAGTGGCTGAATTGGTGGACATCTGTAGAAATGAACATCGACATTTTTGGTAGAGCGCAAGTGTCGTAAAACAATTTTTGACAATTTTTATTTGAGGAAGTCAAGGAAGCCATTTCCCCCTTCTGATTCTGATATTTCTGTAATTTCGTACATCTAAAATTCAAGAACACAAAATTTCAGCCTAGTTGTCAAGGCAATTTCCAGTATCCTACATTCTGTTTGATGATTCTTGCAATTCTGTAGAGCCCCCCCCCCTCCAAAAATTGGCATTTCAGCGACATTCTCAAATCGTGCAACATTTCGATTTCCGATAAGCTATCAAATAAGGCGATGCTTTCTTTTTTTCTGCAATCTCAAAAATTCCACCGCGACCTATTCGCCATTGTTTACCGGTTTCGTGTAGTCCTTGTGGACAAGATAACTTTTCCGCGGCGGAAAATGTCAAGAAAATCTGACATTCGAGTTGCTCCCCTTAATTATAATTATAATTATAATTGCTCGCCAACGTTTCAGCTCTTCCATATTTCGCTGATCGACGCTCGATTAACACGAAGGCATGTCAAGAGGAGGTAGCGCCCATCCGGCTCACGAAATCGACAGTAACCAATTGAAATGTTACAGTAATCCGGGATGCGCGAGCAGCGCCAACGCGCAGACGCATGAAGCGTTCTCGCGACTCATCAATCGACTCGACGATGAGATGTTCTCCTACGTGCAGCCTGAAGCCAATGTAGGGAGCATCGTCTCATCGCGGCGCTTAAAATTGGCGAGATTTCAGTTTCGGCTCGACTTCAAACCCATCCACAATCACAAAATGTCGCCGGCGAATCGCGACTGCCATGTGCCGAACGACGCCACCGACGGTCCAATACTTGAGCGATCCGTGTGCCCATACCACTATAGGCTGAATTATAACGAAAAGGTAGTCCACCCTCAACCGGACGTGTGCTCAAAATGTCAAACGCATACCGCCAATTAATGTCGGCATGAAATGATCAACATTTTCAGGGCGTCGTCTGAAGAAGACGCATTCGAAAATCGAATTCGGAAGTGACCCCAGTCGGCCCGCTAATTGGAGGTGTTTGAACACCTCTGACCACAATTTTTTGTGCTGCAATTTGAACAAATCAAAATTCTAATCGAATCTATTATCATGCGATTAATGATCGAAAATGAAATCGAATTTTCCGATTTTCTTAGGAAATAGTACAAGTATAATGACGTTCATATGATCATGTCCAATTTCGGGATGGCAAATTGAAGCACTGTAGCTTCAAAAAATAGATAATTGCCAAATGTTAATACCAATTGTTATGATGCAAATTTCAGAGAATCCCGGCGGCGATTTCCGAGGTTGAATGAACGTGCACACAAGTTGAGATCAATGGTGCGACATCGGATCCAACACGATTCAATCATTGATTTTCAGGCCGCAAGGTGTTCTGCGAGCCGATGTACTACAACATGAGGATAATGGAATTCGACGAGTCGTGCGACAAATTCGTCGAGAAGATCGAGCGAATCGCGTTGGCGTGCGTCACGGTATTCCAGGTTCGTCGTTCTTGCCGATTCCCAACAGAATTCTCTATTCAAAAAAAAAATATTGTGTGTTTGCGTGAAGGCCTATAATTGGTAAATGCCGTTATAAATGTCTCGCAATTATGCGACTTTTTGAGAAGTCTGTTTTTCCATCTCCTTCATTCGCTGCTTTTGAAACAGGGAAATAATTGTGTCAATTCGGGTCGGATGCTTTCCTGTGTGGCAATTGTTGGAAATTAGAATTAGCGTAGAGGGTTCTGTTGATCCAAACTTAGGCATCCAGTTTTTAAGAATCAAAACATTCGGATCATTCGGATCCGTCTATTGTAGTCTGGACCAAAAGAATTCAGAAATCCTCAGCTTCAATGATCTATGAATAATAAAATAGCCCCCAATTTTTGCAGAACTCGATCTCCGACGCATCCGTGACCCATCAGACGCCGGTGAAGCCGCCATCGCCAGTCTAGTCGCCTCCACCCTCGCCGCCACCCAGCCATGTCGTTCCCCGTCAACACCACACTGTCATATCGTTCGCGCATTTACCATTTGCATATTTATATATTTTTCACATCAACAAACCACTGCATGTATTTTTTTTTGAAGCGGAAACACCAGAAAAAAATCTTCTCCGAAAACAGAGAAAAAAAGAAGAAATGCGGGTGATCATTTGTTATTTTGAGGAGAGCGAAAAAGAGACCATGAAACCATATTTATTTGTTTGTTTATTTATTTATTTATTAAAACAGAGAACAAATATATATTTATTTTTCATATTGATTATTATTATTATTCATTAGTTGTAATGTGTTGTTGAAATAAAGATTTCAATAGAATCTAAATATGTACAAGAAACTAGTGCTACCGTAATCCCTTTAGACACCTCCAACAATGCTATTATGCAGAAAATAAAGATTGACAAAAATTGGATGGAAGGCATTCGAATTGGGTTGAATTGGCGGACAGGTTACGGTATCGACGATTCTCTTCAAAATTCGAATTTCGCCTCGGGACCATTCCGATCATACCTCATAGAGATCGAGAATCTCATTCACCCGATGAACCATCTTGATTATCTCGTTGGCCTTTTCAATCGTTTCGATTAAACGCGAATTTTTTTGGTTGAGAAGACACAACACGCTGACTTCTTCTTCGAGATCATCGGAACACTGAAAAACGAATCGGATTCTGGGTCGAGGTCGGAATATCGCGAAGAATGAAACGAGACCTCCAATTCGAAATCGAATTCCTCTTTGACGATATCAATGGCTTTGTAGAAGACATGGAATGCGTGCGTGAGACATTCCGACTGCAAAATGGTTCTATGCTCATTTTGCAACAATAAATGTTTTAAATATTTAAAAATTGTTTAAAAAAAACCTAATTTTAATCCGTTTTTGTTGGTTTTTCTCCAAAAATTGCATGTTGCAAAAGCGCTCTATTGCTAAACTAGTTTGGTGATAAAATTTAGCTGAAACGGCTAATCTTGCGCTCACAATCAAATCCACGACGCAGTTTTGGGAGTTATGCATTATTGCGTGACATCGCGTGCACAACTTTCAAATTAAAAAAAAGTTTATTGGCGAAAATAGGATTTTTTTCGTGTTTGGCGTAAAAGTGACAAATTTTTTTGGAGAAACAATTGAAAAAATTGCTGTTTTCCTGAAAGTTTGTCAAGTTTATGTAAATGCAAAAGCAAATGAGGAAAAATTGTCCACATCGAAGCTATTTCGTAAAACACTTTCTCTATCCATTTATTTATTAGGTCTAGAAATTAATTTCCGCGTTTTTTTTTTCGTTGTTGATATTTTGTCAAAACAAAATTATTTTTATATAACGAATTTTTGATGTTATAATTTTCTCTGTATTATCAGCTTTCTACTTATATATAACTTTCTTCTCGTACTTTATAAAAAATCATTATTTTGGGATCAGAATATGCTCTATATAACCATGGATTGACGCAAATACATATGAATGCATTCCAGAAAATTGTGCGTACACTGTCACGCAGAAATGCACAAATCCCAAAACATCGGCGGGGATTTAATTTTAAGTTAATCTTTTTTTAATTGATATTTTTAGATCTGCAAAAAATTTAAATTGAACTGAATAACTGGTAGCACATGAAAATGTGTGTGTTCAAGCAGAAATTTGGAATTTCAGATTCAAGAAGTAATCGCAGAAAGCTCAAAAAAGCCAATACGAGTAGCAGAAAAATATTAGTTTATTTTTTAAATAAAATTCGAAGAAAAAATTCGAATAATATTCTAGTTTTTTCTAGTCCTAGTCTATTGTTTGGAGTTATCTAGCCAGAATTTGCATCCATAATTAATGCAGTTTATGCTGATTTAACGGCACAGGCTTTTTCGGCATAATCCGCATGTTCTCCGTTGTACGGTTCACTAGTTCTCACAGTTGAAATGAAAATTTTAATTTGAATTTTGTTCGTTTTTTTTATGGTAGTATGATACGAATTGCGATTCGCGGTAATTTTTTCGCCAAAAACGTTTAACCAATTTTTGCGAGTTTTATTGCAGCAGAAGTTGGTTCGGATCATTTCAAAATGATTTCAGAATCATCATTTTCAGAAACTGAAACTGCAAGGTCTTCCAGAGACGACTGATTCACATAGCTTGCCATATGTTTCAGACGTCAAAAAATAAAAAGAAAATTTCGCTAGGTCTTATCGCAACATTAAATTTGTAGATCCACGGGATATTCATAAGGATAGACTCGGAAATTTCGATGAAAGGATCGGAAGTTTTTGAATTGCCGCCAAAACCGCCGTGTTTGCGGACTTTGGATTTTATATTTTTAATTTTGGTCTTTGATCTTAGTTGATTAACATAAAAAGTTTAGAAAAGCTTAAAAGAATGGTAGCTGTCGGTCGAAAATGTGTGCAAACACGATGACGTAAATATCACATATCTTTAAAGGCGCACAGAACCTCTCTCGAAATATTTTTGGCACCCCGTTTTTAATTTTTTTTTTTTGCCAAGATGTTTGAAATTCTCAGCATAATGTTGTTTCAAATGAAAAATTCGGCATTTCTCCAAATTTGATCATCAAACAATGATTTAAACATTGTTATCATTAGAGCGTGTTTGCAATTCCGAAAATCACCCCCTCACCGTAAAAGGCATTGTTTGAAATGCATCAAGCAGCATCCTCAAGTGATCGATTCCCCCGAAAATTTTCACAATCTCCTCCAATCGTTCATCAAATTTTCGCCATGGAATCGCCGGCTGCTCATTGTTCTTCTAGAAATTTCATGAGAAATTTTTGAGAAGCGACAATCAACCTTATTCTGATAAATGCGGACACCCGCCTCGATCGAAGTGACCTGTGAAATACGAACAATGTTCATTTCAATTTTTTTTTGAACGTTTAGAAATTACATGAAGCCCGATCAAAATTTTTTCGAGGTGTTCCAAGAAGTTCGCATAATTTGCGTTCTAAAAACCAAATATTAAACTTATGAATATGCACGTAGATTGAGGAGGTGGAAGAATAAAAAAAATCGAGAAACCACCTCGAGTTTCCGAATCTCTCGATTCTGCCAGAGTCTCGTCAATTTGACCGAATGAATCAACCAAATCGCATTGATTTTTTCGATGCACAGCAAATAGAGCTGATGGAGATATTCATCCTGAAATATTCAAGCCGGAATTTGACGACAATTGTCAAATTTGGTAAAAATTCGGGACAATATTGAAGTGGCCCCGATCCCAGAAAATGTCCGCAGATGATTATAATGAAATTTTTTGGCTTAGCGTTGTCCGTGTGTGGGTGGCTTTTTGCCAACGAGTTCAACAATAAAGACACAGACACAAATACTCTTTAAATTGACCAAAGATTAAATCTATATAAAAAATAAACTAATCTAGCAATTAAGGTGAATTTTTACGAAAAAAAAAACATTGTCAAAAGTTCAAAATAACAATTTGGTGCACAAATTGAGCCACCATTACCATAAATAGTATGAGACGAATTGGTGTTCTGAAATAATATGAAATACTTTGTTCTTTGTTATCTGTTCAGGTAACTCAAATAAATGACAGTGCTCCACATAACTATATACCCACCCCTAATTTTGTCGAATAACTCGAAAACGCGAATAGCTCCAGAAATGGTTTCAATTAGAAAAATATGCGCATTTATTATTAGTTTCATGTTACATTCACAAAATTCAACAAAAAATAACAATTATAAAAAATCGCATATTTTTCTGATTGAAACCATTTCTGGAGCTATTCGGGATTTCGAGTTATTCGACGATTAGAGAAAGCTTGGTGCTCTGCCGGCTGCGACCCTAAACCACTTAGTACCTTCCATGCCTGAAAGATGTTATGCTGCTTTTGAAGCAAATGATATGGCGACTAAGTATTAGGTCTATTAAACCTCGAAAAAAAGTTATTTGGTGTTTGACGATCTAATTTTGCTTCTACAGCCGTTTGAATTTATTCGCCGATTTTTGGAAATTTCGATTTTTTTTTGCGATTTCTACTTGAAGAAAATCAATTTCCATAATACATGAACTTGCTTTTAAACATTTGAATCTATGAAAAATAAGTGCTAAAAATTTCAACCTTATTGAGGTTATTTCGAATTTTCTCAATAATAATTTTTTTTGGAATTTCTTCATTGAATATTTGATTTACCTGATAGATTGAAGACTTGATAAAAAATGTTGTCTTTGAAAAATAGAAAAGTGGCGTGCAAATTTTCAAAACTTTCGTCAAAGGTCACATTTCAATATTTGCGTCGACAAAAATATTGAAGTTTCAAGAAAAAAGAGAAATCCTAAAATGTGTGCAATTTTGCGTGCGTGTGTATGAATCTTCTTCTTGGCAATCCAAAATGCCAGAAATGGTCTCATGGCGATTTCATTTTTTTCTCAACAACCTATAGTGAATCTCCCGTAAATCGACACACAGTAGTCCGCGCGACTTCGACAATATACATATAGGAATATCAAAATAATACCAACAATAACCTAAACTTACGCTTTTCTTATTTTCTAAATTAATAATAATGTCGTTTCAGCGAAACAGAATTCCAGAATCACACTCACCGTAGCGAAATTATTCCGCAATCTGTCGAGCTCATTCCCGATGCTCTCATCGAAGTCCATTGCCGAATATGGGGAGGGGTGGGGAATGAATGAATGCGATTGGCCATCGCGAAATCGAAGCCGCCCATTTTTGTCACATTCTCGAATCGAAAAAAAAAAGTTGAAAGCCAAACGAACACGGAATGGAAATGATAAGCGAGTTTCGTGATGGGTTTTCATATGTCGAAAATACCGATGAACAAAAAAGAAACCACGGCGTTCGTTTCGATGAATCGCGCAATGTTTCAATTCGGCGGGTCTCAAAACGGATAGTCTTTTTCAATAACGTCCAGAAGAAGAAGCCGGATTCATTTCGAATCTTTTTTTTATTCAAAAAAGAAACTCGCTTATCACCTTCATTGTGTTTGTTTTTTTTTGGCTGGTGACAAAAGTGGGCGGAGTCTTCATGAAGACCCCACTCATCCAAACATTCGTCGCATTTTCCAATCAAGCCCAATTGTTGAATGACGGCGAATTGCAATGCGAACATCGAGAACGAGCTCGAGATTCTGAGGATCACATGCACAACGGTGAGCGTTTGTTCTCTTCACTTCTGAATTCCACTTCAGCCACAACATCTCCATCAAATCTATACGTTGTGCATGGAAAAAACGAGCACGATTCTGGAGAATCATTCATTCGAATTGGAAAATTTCTGGAAGAATCGCGACGTCTGGAAAAGCGAGGTCTGACAATTATTAGCACCCCAACCAGCAACCACCAATTGTTTGCGATTTTTAGTATACGAATTACGCGGAATTTCTGGAAGGTCTCGAAAAGTTTTTGCAGCTTTATCAAGTGTGTCGAACGCCGAATGCGTTTTCCACTAAGGCTTCTTTATCTTCAGATTACCGCCATCGAGTCTGGATTGCAGTTGTTGCAGCGAAAAGTTGGCGGCACTCATCAGATTCCCATCAATCAATCGTTCTTCTTCTAGAAGCTTCTCGAGAAGCACGCGGTTGTGTGGCGAAAACTCGCCGAACGCCTCGAATTCATCAATTCCATAGTCGGCGATGCCGATGATCTGCGTGAACTTCGCGATTCAATTAGAAGGGTCCCATATCGAGTCGGTCGAACTTCTCGAACAGCCTTCACATCTCAATCCTCTCATTCTTCAGATTCCCTATCTCGAGCATGCCTATCATGTGTTCAACAGAGCTATCGAAATTGTCAAACACGAGTTTTTTCTGGAAATGCAGGTAGACTCATTTCAAGACATTCGAAAATCGATTTCGAGCAGCGTTTCAACGAACTCGACAAACAGTTGACTCTTTTGAATCGAATGGAGAAGAATCGGGCGATCAATAAAGAGATCAAGTTGGTGAATAAAAAAATCGAGATGAGAAATAAGATAAATGAGCTCATTGAGCTCTATGAGGTAGTTTCTGATTGAATTGATCACTTCGAAGGCAAATTGAAGACTTGAAGGCGATTATCGATTTGGTGTGCAGTCCGACAATTGAACCCGAAGCGAATGCTTATCATCCGATATTTGTCAACCTGCAAAACCTGGCCGATGTCATACGGGTACGTGAGAACGGCCGCCAACCTTATTACACACATCCGAATGTCCGCGGCGACGCCGAATCTTATAAAGTTGCACGTTCGCATATTTGAGAATCGAAGGAGGTGGAGTGATCAGGAATCATCTAATCGATCGATGATCGGCGAGCCGCTATCAAAATTCGACATTGATTTCAAATTCGGTTTCATTGAAATGATTAACATCGGAAAGGCGAGCACCGTGGATTTCGTTTTACAGAAAATTTGGAAAATTCCGATGCGAGGTGGTCTTGACAAACTAAGAATTTCAAAAAATGGATTTTTGACTATTTCGTCATTTACAAGAAATTTCAGAAAAAAATGTTTGAAAAACCATTTTTTAGAATTCCAACGTTCAATTAATCAACAATCCACAACAGGAAAAAAATCGAGAAATGAAATATCTTGAAAATCCGCAAGTAAAAATTTTCGAAATTTATGATTTCAATGAAAAATTAATTATTGAGATGGCGCACAATGGAATGTATTCGGATCATCAGGTGAGTCATCATGATGTTGATTTAATATTTGATTGAACACTTTGAGGAATCAATTCGATGTGTTCAAATCAAAAAGAAGACGATCAACGAAGTTGCGGAGAAGAATCGAGAGCTGAAAATGATATTGAGATATTGCAAATATCGCGAAATCTGTCGCGATCAAGTCGATGGTGTCATGCAATCATCGAGGAAAAAAATTCGAGTATTGCGCAATGAGTATTCGTTGAATTTGATGAAGTTGAACAATATGCGAAAAATCTACGAGGATATGAAACGCACGGCGGCGAATTCGAAAGAGGAGTTGCTTACGGTACGGATTACTGTAGCACACGGTTTTAGATGTGCAAATTCGAAAATTGGGGGTTTTTAGAAGCATCAAACACTGCACCTTCAAATGGAGCTCATTGGAGCTCACTCGCTCCATTTGGCCGAACTTCAAAATGGCATCGAACTTCATAATGTTAGATAAGAAATTTTACTATATGCTGAATCAGCTTGAACAATTTCAGATGATCACGAATACGGTTTCAGCGAAAATTTTGAATTCCCGAAATTCCAAATGAATGAATAAATTATTGAAATGAATTTATTGGATTAGAAACAAAACATTTAAAAAAATTGAAATGATGGTGAGAAATTGCGGAAATTTAGATTTTTCTCGAGGTGCAGCATACGCATTGAAGGGCGAGCTCGTCCTTCTTCTGCTCCTTCTTGTCCTTCTCCGTCTCGTCGTCGTCGTCGTCCTCATCGTCATCGTCGTACTTGCGGTGGTATTTCGGCGCGGCGGTGAGCTTCGGATCGAACACCATCAAGATTCCGACGGTTGGCTGAAACAACATGAATCGTGGCGGAATTTGCCGGATGGCTTACGGAGTCGCTTCCGGAAACTTTGGACGAGATCGCGCAGCACTTGTTGCAAGCGTCTGTTGACGTGATAGCGGTGTGGCGGCAAGCTTGTCTCTCGAATGGTCTTGGTCTTTGGAAGTAGGCTGGTCCGTAGGCTGGGCCTTGTGAGTAGGCTCCTCCAGCTCCATAAGCTCCAGTGGTTTCCTGAGCTGGAACTCCGTAGGCTTGTCTCTTCACACGGTTCTTGTAGTCTGCAATAATGAACACTCGAGAAAAAGTCGAAGACGATTCGTACGCTTCTTGTCGAGACCGACGAGTGGAAACGAGGCGTGCACCGAGCAGTAGTTGACGTCGAAGTTCGGGAAGTTGAAGACTGGAGCTCCGTACTGTGACGAAGCCTGTCCGGGATTCTGGTAGACCGGTGGAACACCGTAATGACCGGCGGCCGGAGCCTCCTTGGCTTCCTTCTGTAATTCGAGATCGATCAATGCCGCTGAGGGCTTCGCGCTCACCACTTCCTTGGCGCCATGAACGGCGAGCACGACGATGGCGAGCGAGAAGATGATGGAACGCATCGTGTTCAGCGACTGATGGCCATTCACGTCGATCGTCTCGAATTTAAAGCGGCTCGAATTGGGCGGGAATTGTGTGGGAGGATGATTTCCGGCGGATAAAACATCCAATATTATTGGATGTGCAATTTGCACCGAAAAACCGACAAAGAAAATTGAAGATGCGTCGTTGGTGTTGCAAATCTCGAAAGCTATTGATCTCCTAAAAACGAGCCATTAGGTATTCTAGAAAAAACCCAACATCTACTGGGTCTCAGGGTTTAATTCAATATCTGGCAACTGGCAAAATTAATTAATTAATTAATTAATTAAGCTTTCTCGTATATAAAATATGATGGTGCTATGAAGATTTTTGCACAAAACTCGAAAAAACTCAAAAAAAATGTTCTGCAATTTTAGTTTTTTACAGTTTTTCTGCAAAATCCACATCGTACTATAATTAAATAAATGTGAATTAATTATTTAGAAATTGCATTTAAAAAATGATATGAGACGCTCAATACTCATGAACGACAAATTTCAGAGTCCTATTGACTTAAAAATAAATTCTGAAAATAGAAAAAACCGTTAAGAAGGGTTTTCCTTAGGGTTTTCAAACCAATAAATTATGATAGGTACTTTTTCTATTTTTAGAGCTTAACAAAGTTCTAAATAATGAGCCTTAAAAATGCAAGCTTAAATATTAAATTAAATTTTTCTTCCGTTCAATCTGAAAAAAAATAATTCATTCAATTGGAATTCTGCTTCGTGTTTTATCACGCCAGGCACTTTTCTTTCCAAAAATTGTAAGTTTCATTCCAATCGATTACAACAGTGATTTATTTTCGAGTAAATCGTATAGATCTCTATTTTTTTCAATATTGAGCCAATTTTCCGAAGTCGCGCGATGTCGATAATGCAAAATTAATTTTCTAGTTTCGACTATTACCAAAAAAGGGGTAGGGGGTTCGTTTGAGTCCGATACTACAAATTCCCGAAGTCGTTTTTTTTTCTACACTTTGCTAACACGATTCTCAAATCATCCCCAAGTTGCTCGAATATGAACATTTGTTCAATATTCTGTTCAATAAAAATCCATTTAAAAAAAACGACCGCAATATTCGTGTGCCGGTCACCGGTTTTACACCGTTTCTCACAGCCGTCGCGCGCGTACAAAATTGCAATTTGCTGCTCATGACATTCATCATCAAATTGGGATTTTTATTAAAAAATAATTTAAAAAAAAGAGCGAATCGTTGCTCCAAAATCAATCAAATCGCGTCGGTGTGTGTACAGAAGAGGTCGATCAAGACGAAAATGAATCGAAGCCCTGAAATTGAAGCAAAATGAGTGGGCAAGAAATGATTTCGACCCGATTACTCATCTGGGTCAAATGGTGCAATTTCGAATAGGCAATTGTGGGGATTGGGTTTTTGAGCAAATGACGAGGAAATTAAACAGAATCGTCATCGATGATTCAAGGGGGAACTGATTTCAATTTCTTAGGCGAATGGCGTAGCGAAGCGACGAGGAAGTGACTTCAAATTATTGGAACCACAAAAATTTCCAAAATTCTACCAAATCACTAAAAAATAATTGGCGCGATTTTCAATAATTTGCCTTCTCCGAGCGATTTCGTATTTTTTTCATACCAAATAATTTTAATTCTTGCATTCAGACAAATTTGATCTGAAAAAATTCTGAATCTAATATTGGATTTTGCTTTTCACATCAACTTGAATTCTAATATATGTATGTGGGAAATGGTCCATCGATTTCGATTTCAAGAAGAAATCCCAAACGTTCAGCTATGAAGCAACATTTCAAAATTAATATCATTCTGGCAATGTGATTTCCGGTCTCCACCCACCCCCCGCCTACGATTAGCCACAATTTCATATAAAAGGCGTTTCGAGACCATCTCAAAACCATATCATTTTCGATTCGATTCGAACATGCAGTTCTCGTGTCTGATCGTCGTGCTCATCGGCTCGTCGCTCGCCGCCGCCGCCGCCGCCCCGTCGAACGCGACGAAGGAGGAGCCAGCCGCCGGCCGCCACTACCGCCCGCCTCCGCCGAGCTACTCGTCGTACGGCTCGCCGTACTATGGCTTCATTCCGCCGGTCTTGCAAGATCGTGAGTTGTTTGCCCGGTCCGCTTCTCGTCAGCAACGATTCGTTGCAGGCTTCGTTTGCGATCTCGATGCCTCGGTGCTTCTCATGACCGAATCATCGCCACGCTATCACGGCTACAACTACGCGACGCTGAATCGCGCCATCCGCGTGAAATGCTCCGAAGTGGCCAACTACGACGAGGACTCGTGCAACGCGTGCTGCCAACAGACGGCGCGTCGCGACACCACATTGGCCAACGTGAGCGATTGCTTTTCGTTCCGTCGATTTCAGTCAACCGATGCCCGTGTCTAGGGTACTTCCTTGATGGAATTCTGCGTCCATCGTCGGCATTGCAAGAATTTCTCAGTTGTACCCTGGACATTGGCGATTGGGCCATTTGACGACACCGCGTTCGAAAATGCCAATCGATAATCCGCTTCACATTTCAGGACAAACTCTTCGGATTCCTCAGCGTCGTCAAAGAAGCCGATTCCGACAAGGCATTTGTGGTATTGAAAAATAATTTCTCAAAATTTGGGAATTCTTTTTCTCGCTTCAGCGCACCAAGCGATCCTACGATGAGGAGGACGATGATGAGGACAACAAGAAGGACTACTACCACTATAACAAGATCGAGGTGAGCACCGTCGAGAAGGGCACGTGGGCACCAGGAAAGTACAACGACAACGTCAAGTGTGTGTGCTGCGCGCCACGCCCATCCGCTTCAGCGCCATCTCAACCGACATATGGAGCTCCGATCAACACGTTCCAGGCACAGGTTCGAAATTGGCATTAAAGGAATAAAAAAAATCCATTTTTAATTGCAGACCTACGGATCGCCAGTCAACGCCTTCCAGCCGCCAACCGCCTCGATGCCAGCTCCATCCTGGGCTCCAGTCGACACCTTCCAGGCACCACAAGCTTGGGGAGCCGCCGCGCCATCTGCTCCAGCTTCATCGGCTCCAGCTCAAGCAGCCGCTGCTCCAGCTCCAGCTCCAGCCGCCGCCGTTCAACAATATTAATTAATCGTCTTTATTTCACTTGATATATTCTAAAAAATAAACCTTTCTTGATTAAAAATTGTGCAAAATCGAAATAAAAACGATTGATTCAAAATGGTGGCCGGCATTTCAAGTGGCCGAAAACTTAAGAACGGCCATGGTTTAAAAATATCAGATTCGGTAGAATTTCAGTTTCGCCTTCTTGGCCCATCCTCCGTCAAAAAATATGTACAACTTTTTATGGTTGTAAACTCGAATGAACTTTTCGCCGCTTGGAAGTTCTAAAAAATGCAGAGAATTTATTCGATCAACAAGAAAAAGAAAACAAATTTTTTAAGCTCCATAAGAATTATTAGTGAGAAAAAAAGAAGCAAGAACAGTGTAATGCATAATAATAGAAATTAAAATGTGTTCCTTGTGGAAATGAATCGGCAACGGAAGGAATGGAAACTAGATCAATAATATCCGTTATAAGGCGGAGGTGGTGGCATCATTCCATAACCATAGCCAGGCTGAAAATAAGATAAATTAGACTATTTCAAATCAAGGCAAAATCCTTACTGGAATGGCAATTGGTGGCGTTGGAATAACAGGACCGCCTTTCGGTTGGAGAATTGTGCGCGCATGAATGGCATCTGGGAAGAGCTCATGGTATGAGTTCACCGGCACATAATTCGCAGTAATCACCTAAAAATTGAAATTAGAAGGCAACTTCCGATTGAGCTTACCATTCCGGAGAACCATCTTCCATGAAGAGCTGAGACCGCGTTGTGAGCAATGGCAATCGATGGGCATTTCACATAAACATTGCCCTGTTCGCTTCCCTTGTCGACAAAAACATGAAGAGCTCCGCCATGCTGAAGACACTGCTCAATAACATCATCGCGTATATCGCTGTCCCAATTCGGCTCCGACTCTTTCGCAGGATTGAACATGTTCGACAACAAGAAGCACTGTGTAGCGATGGCGGGAATCGTCGACTCCGACGCCTGATTGGCGGCCATTTGTGCCGACGCCGTCAATTCCATTCCGCCGCCAGTTCCTTGCGCCAATTTCGCCATCAACTGCTGCCGGCCGCCAGCGCCAAGGGCAAATCCTTGCTGATTGTCGACGACGTCAAGACTGCGCTGATGTATCGACGCTTCTTCTCGCTTTATCTCCGGCTCTTGAATACTTAATCGAATGCACTTTTTGGCAAGTTCAAAGTTATTCAGCTGTTCAACTGCTTTAGTGGCATCTTCAGCGTTTCGGAACTGAAAAAAAATAATATCGGCATAAATCGACGGCAATTTGGACTTACCACAATGACCGCTGATCCAACACCGTCTCCATTCGCATCATGTTCCATCTCAACTCGATCAATCCTTCCAAACGAGTCAAAAACTTCTGTGAGCATCTTTTCGGTGATTTTCGGATGAAGATTGTCAACGAGCATTCTCGTTGGTCCTTTATTTGCCGGAATTCCGAATCCAATTGTGGTAGCGACTGAAGCATTCGCAGCGCGATTGCGTTCGGCGCATGTTCTTTGAATAATTAGCGGCGCATTAAGAAGGCGCTGTCCATTGAGTGCAAGCGCGAGAGCAACACTATCCTCATCCCAGAATTCGACGTATGCTATTCCTTTACTTCTTCCAGTTCGCGAGTCTGTGATAATTCGAACATCGCGGACACTTCCGACGGCGGAAAAGAATTCCTCGAGATCTCGTGGACGGGTATCGCGCGCCATTTGCATAATAAGAATGGTTCTCTGATCACGTTCTTCCGCTGTCAAATCGAGGTTCGCGTCTTTTGGTGGCGAGTTTCTTGGATTGAATGGCATCACATCACGACGTTCAGGGCCCGGCAAACGTCCTAAAATAATTATCTCTCTTTCATTTCGTCAACATTCATCAAAATTTAAGCTATTTAAGAATTTGTATTATTTCTAGTTAATCATTTTATATCATATTCCCCAGAAATTTCAGATCAGATGAAAGTCCTTATCTTTCGTTTCCACAGGAATCTAAAATCTTTAAAATTTCCTTATCATTCTCCCCCATTCGTATTTATCCACCGATCATTTTCAAACACAAAACCTCGTGGTGGTGACCGCCTTGGCGACGATCTGCGATGATCAATGACTCTTGGACGACGCGGTGGACTGTAGCGACGGCGATACGGTGGTGATCGAGACCTTCTGCGATCGCGACGATCTCGGCTTCTACTGCGGCGTCTGTCCCGTGATCTCGAGCGCGATCTTCTCCGTTTGCGATCGCGGCTGCGGCTTCGCGAGCGGCGTCGATCCCGGCTTCGACTACGGCTGCGGGTGCGTGAGCGGCTCCGCGAGCCTCTTCGCTTCTTCCTGTCACGACTAGTGGATCTCGATCTGAAAATATGACATAGGAAAATATCAATGCTGTTCGCGTTAATGGTGTGCAATGTGCGAAATTGAGTTTGGTTTTAGTTTAATCTAATCTTGAATTCGAGATAACGATCTGCAAAATGTGGCACATGTTCATTTCAATGAGGCAATGGAATGAATGACTGTAGCATCCGCGGGCGCATCGAGCCAAAACCTGGAATAAATCCAAGAGGCACGAGCGTACCTTTCTCCAAATATAATTCAGCGTGAGAGGGGGACCAACAAGAATCCACTTTTATGAAGAAAATTTCATAGGACGATGATCGGATGATTGCAGGTTCATTGTCTACAACGGACAACATTCATAGACTCGGCAATTCGAATTTTAACAATATTTACAGAAAATTTAAAAAGAAACATGCAAATTCGCGGAATCGAGCATGTTACCTACCTTGAGCGATTCTTCTTCGTGCTTCCATGCTCCGAGTTCTCCTTTTCGCCGGTTACCTGTAAAAAAAAACAATTTAATATTCGAAACTGTGGTGAAAATCATTAATCCTCTTTGGAATTATTTTATTGTTGTAAAAAATGATCACGAAAGATTTTAAATGCGCGTTGACCTGATTGAGAAATAGAATAAAAAAAGTTCTAGTAATAATAAAATAGAAAAGAAACAAACCCCGTTCGACGAATTTCCGGCAAGCGCTCCATCGAGCATAGCGTCAACGTCGAGTCCGTCGGCCATCGTGTTAAGTCGTGTATCGATTGAATGAAACAGATGACGAGATCCTGTATAAGTTCACGTTTCAACTTTCAATATTCGCGCGGCGTTCGAGCCTCGTTTGTGAGATGAGAATGACGAAAAACCGCGCTGCCCGCAGCGCGTATAAATGACCGCGACGCGTTCAGCGACATTGTGTCGTCTCTTCGTTGCGAAATATCGGTGTGCAATAAATATGTGCGCCTTGAACGCATCGACAGCGGGAATTCAAAAAAATCGCCATAACAAATTGCAATAATTAGGAGGTTTTTGATATATAGAAGGTACTCGATTTTGTGACCATTTAAAAATATTCTCATCATTCATCTGTTTCAATCTCAAGAAAAAATTGGACCGAAAAAAACCAAAGCGTCCCTAGGGGCAATTTTTTCAAAATTTTATCGTAGATTCGCAACTTTTTCTTTCATCTTCGCTGATTCTAAAGAGATTAATTTGTCATGTTTTTTTTTTTAAATAATATTAGTTTTAAGTGTGGTTTTTGTTTTTTTTTCGGAATTTTAGTTTCCGCATTATTCAGCGTTATTTAAGTTTAATAACAATAAATTTTGTAATAACAAAAATTAAATAATTAAAAAATTATTATTAAAATTTAGGAAAGAAAAAAATCGAAAGAAACTTTTTTTAATGTTTTAATGAACTGTAACTCGTATATGCAAGATTCATTTATTTCCAACACATGCGTCTTTAATCATTTTACAGTAATTTTATTTTTTAGGCCAAACTTTTTTCTTTTTTTTTTCTTTAGCTGCATTATTTTTCAGTTTATTTTCTGTTTACAAAATTTTAATCTCTTTAATTTTATATAGTCGAGCTCTTTCTGTATTTCATAATACACGATGCTAATAAAATAAAAGCACGTTATTTTCGTCTTTTGGAAATTTCGACAAAACTACATAGATTGATGTCAAAGAGCTCATAAAAGTCAACGATCTTCGAAATTGGCGCTTTCCAATATCTTCTGTGTTCATTCCATTTGCCACAAAAAACGAAGTAATTGCTTCAAAAAAAAAGTTGAAAACGAGAAAAAAACGACAATTTAAGGAACAGTGTGTCTATGTGTGACAGAAAATAAAAAATACAATATTTTGTATGTTTCTAGGTTCCAGCTATGTGTGCCGATATGGGTAGCGCCCCGCACGAGCAAAAAAGGATGCTCAAAAGGGTCCCGTGGGATGGACGGGTCGAGCAGCACAAAACGTCAAGCCAATATCAAAAAGTGTGGGCCCTTCTTTCCCCATTCTTGTGGCCCGGGGGCACACATACACACATATACATACATACACGCTTCTACGCTATTTCAATACCAAAAACTGGGTCCAATTGTTGTTCGACATACACATATACATATATAGATATCTGTGCTTGCGTACACTTTTGCATAACATGACCTCCTACTTCTCCTCTTCTTCGTCTTCTTATTCTTTTGTTTCGCCTTCTATCGTCCTTTACTTTCTTCTCATCTTATTGCTAATCCATTGGGGTTGATGGGCTTGTCACAAATTCGTGCACTACGTTTGCCATTTTTATGGACTCTGGTGTTGTCCCAATTCGGCTTAATATGAAACTCAAGAGCACCTGCTTTAGGGCGAAAAAAGTACCTGATACTCTCGAATTTCGCCCCGACTCGTCTTCTCAAATTTCCCGCTGACGCCAATGTGTCCTACCTTTTCAATTGTTTTAGGTTCCGGCATAGGAAATCATTTCGACCTTCCAATTTTTGCTTAAAATTTTTTTCCAAGTATGCATATTTCATCTTCTGCTCTTCTAAGGATTTTTTTTAAGTTTTATATGTAGGATTTTCGGAACTTAACGATTCGGATTAAATCTCCTCCCGGAAAAATATGATTTTCGTGGTAATTCTCGACTAATTCAAATATCTAAAAATTATTTCGCAGAATCTTGTATAAGTTCTTCTAAACCTAGAGGGAATCTCCTTGATGTCCACCACTTCGATGAATATGATTCTTATTCAGAGAACGAATTTCATGTTTTCTTGTTTTTTTTTAATTCTTGTTCAGAATCTTTTCTAATTGCCCGTCTAATAATGAAATTGTCTTCGTCCGCCAAAAGTTTTGTATTAAATGAAAATATCGAATTAGTTGGCGACAAACGCCGAGTCCGGAGTCTTAATTGAATTCCATAGCGTTGGTTGTGAGCTTCACGTTTTTTTAGGCGGTCGGCCTCGAAATAAATTGCCTCGACAAACATGCACAGAAACGCGTACGCCAACCATTTTACGTTTCACGCGTCGATCTTTGGCGCCAATTTTTTCTCTTCTTCACCCTCCCAGTTTTGGGTCAGAACGAGAAAAAACTGGGGCGTTAGGCCTTCGCCAAATCACAAAACACTTCCAAGCTCATCCATTTTTCCTCATGACAAGTCTACAAACAACAACTACTACGACTACCACTTGAGCGCGAAACAAGAAGAGCACTGAAAAAAATGAATGGCCCTACTAGTGTAACAACAACGCCTTTATGAATTGTGTTTTACGATGCCGAGTTCCGGATGTTCGAATTATAATCGACGACAGAAAGAGGATGACGGTGTGTTGTTATCGGGGCGGCAAAACACCTGACATCATATTCGCCGGACGAGCTGGACAAACTCAAACCGCACAAGTATCTCACCTTACAACTGACATTTTCACACTTTTACAATTCAAATAGTGTATTTCGCAGAGAATAACCCAACAATTTTTATTGGTGAATCTCGATAGACCGACCAAGACGCTTAAAGTTGGTCTAACTTCTTTTTTTTTTCTCTGCCGTTGATAGTCCTTAACACCTTGTGACTTTTCGCCACGAGTTGCCCGCTCGTCAAAAATTAATGTTTCATCGGCTGTTGGCCGAAGAAAAGCGCATAAAATTGATGATACTGCAGATAAAATTTTATTCGTCGATTTTCCGCTTGCAGCTGCTCTTTATATTATTTTCAATATTCGCTAGGATTTGTTGTCGCTGGTTCCTATGGCATATAAAGATTTAATCAAATATCCCGGATTACTGTAGGAATCTCACCACTAGCTTCTTCTTCTCATTTCTCGTGATAATCCACGCCCTTTTTTTGCCAATACTTGCTAGCTTATTCTGTTGGTTGTCTATTCCATCCGAAAAAATAGTCACATCTGTTCCAGAGACTTGGACCAGGTCGAACGGTGTCGAGCGCATTCACTGGGGGCGTCCATCTCTTAGCCGATGCCATAATGAGACCGAAACATGAAGGTATGAGAATTTTATCGGCATTATGAAAAAAAAAACTTGAATTGTCAGGTCGAATATTTCGAAGTGACACTCGATAGAGGTATAGACGTGCCATATTTGGGTGGTGAAATCATTAAGGGTGTCATCGAAATGGTGTGCTCGAAACAGGTGCGCATCAACGGGCTCATTGTGCGTTTGACGGGCGTCGCCGAGACTGGTTGGCGGAGTCGGCAAGACGATTTGCCATACGAGAGCAGAAACACGTTCATGGATGAGAGAATCGATTTAACTACGTGAGAAATTTCATCGATAAATCGGAATTCACTATTCCATTGTTTAGGGTCATCGCCGAACACTGTACCGACGATTTCGAGCTACACGAAGGCAAGCACAGTGTCGAGTTCGAAGGCAAAATTCCGCTCGACGTGCTCTCATCGGTTGAACGGTTGGTTCCGTTTTAGGAAAAATTTGACAAAATAATGAATCCTTAACTTTTGTAGTGAAAATCACGGAAATGTGCGATACACATGTACGGCGCTGATGGCGATTCCGGAGGATGGCGACACGGAAGTTGTGTCGGAGAAGATATTCAAAGTGCACTCGCTACTCAATCTTGATGCTCCCTACCTTCGAGACAAGTCTTATGTTACAGAAGAGCAAGAGGTAAATTTAGCTTTAGTACCCCGAAAGCTTTTAGAAAACAGAACCGACATTTGATAATAGGAAACAATTTTATAAAACGATGAAGACACATGCTATGTTCCGTGTTGTTTTTCAAATGTTTGATTAATTGCAGATAACGGGTTGTTGTGGTAGAGCACGAGGATCGATGGTGGCGACGATGATCGTTGATGAAATTGGTGTCATGCCAGGTTGATTTTTCTTTTGATTTCAATGATATTGAATTTTGAACATTATAGGCGAGACTTCGAAGATTAGTATAACTGTGGAGAATAAGACGAAGAAAAAGAGGAGGTGGACGAGGAAAAAGGTGATTTTTAATGAATAGTTATATTATTGCGACACGTCAAAAAAAATCAAAGTTTTCTATGAAAATTACACATGATCTCTATTTTTAACCGGTTGTTAGAGTTTTTTTTTTGAAAATCTACACAATAACATAAATATCATTGAGGGAATCTTGCGATTAAAAAAATTCATTCTTTACGAAATTTGTTATATGCGCCTTTATCGCTGCGAAACCAACGCATAAAATTCAAATTGTCAACTTTAAATTTTCGACCTCGTTGGTTGAAACCAGCGATTTACAATCCTGGTTGGAACACCTTCAGTTATTTCCCGTAAGAACCAAACCGCGAATTCAAATATTAATCGATATACTGTCGGCGACTCTGGAATTTGGTTGCATTCCAAAACAATGAAGGTGATGTCTTGGAAAGCGGTGTGGCGACCCTTTTGTTTAAATCTACTAATTCAGTTTCAAGGCCTATCAAGGTCCTTTTTAGCCATTCTGCCTAGTCATTTGATTCGCACTCCATGCAAATATAAAAAATTGCAGGAAGGACATGAATGTGTGCTACTCTCCCTTTGTCAGCAGCTCGATTTCATCGCAGTGAATCGCTATGATCCGAAATTGGTTGATCAGAAATCGGTGACAATCGCCGTTGAAAGCCACGTAAGCGGGGTGAATAAAGTTTGGTTTTCGAAAATTTCAATTTTTCAGGGTACTTGCAAGACAAAAGCAGGCACCGGACCACAAACCAAAGAGATCGAGTTCAGCGTGCCGTCGAATCTGCCGCCGACGTCGATTCACGCGAATCGCCTTGTTACCATATCATACTTTTTCAAGCTCGACCTCGAACATTTCGACCTGATACTTCCCGTGATTGTCGGCAGCCATAAAACGCCGGGCAAGATCGACTAGCCGCCCGGCCGCCGTAGTTTTATTTATCATTATTATTTTCTTCTAGCTGATTTTTATTTTTTTTGTGATGATTTAAGCTACCGGTCGTCGATTTTCACCAATCCCAATTGGTTTTATTATCCTTTTATTCTTTCTCAACTCCCCACCCCAAATATTAAATTTTTTTAAAAATCTTGTCAGACCAAAATATCGCATCCGCCTGCCAAATATGCTGCGCCTATTAAAAACTCGAAACACGCACAAAACCCAAAATATATCAATTATTAATGCCCTTTTTTCCTCTTTCATTATTTTAGGTTTAATTTTGCGATTTTTAAGATGAAATTTTTATTCGAAGCATTTTCGAGAACTTTTTCATATAGCTTTCAGGTTTCATCTCGACGTATGTCGTTTCGCGATAAATTCCGTCGACGAAGGCCAAATCGAATGTGTAAACTTCACGCATTCTTGCAGTCTAGAGATATTTGTGTGTTTTATTTGGAATATATATTTTTTTTTAGAATTTACCAGTTGGATTAGTAGGTTTCTATTAGTTGAAATTGAGGAATGAAATAAGATAACAACACGTAAATATTTATTTATTAAAAAAGTAGTGGTTAGGATGGAATTTACTGGAAATGTTTATTTACGTCCGAGTCCCTTGTAATAAGGGAAAAATCGCTGCCTTCCCGAGTCTTTGCCAAGACTTGATCCTGAAATTAAATAATTTAGCGGTGGAGCGCGTTTGCTACAATGAGAATTATAAAATTGATTGGTTCGTGGTGTCTCTTTGCGGCGTGATTGCGCAATCCCCATTATGGTATATTATGGGGAAATGCCGAAAAAAAAAAAACTTGCATTTTAATCTACGCCTAAAATGTTCGAAAGTCTTCGCGGAAGCTGCGGTTTTTATGCGTGTTTTAAAATTTTTTTAATCTTTAAAACGGTCTCATTAAAATTAAAAATAAATAAAAATGGAGAGAATATTTCTATTTATATCTAAAACGTACGAAGATCGCGAATCAATCTCTGAGCTTCAACGTCCGGTGGGCTGTAGAACAACATGTTTCTGGAATTGAATTCGTTTTTCTATTTTTCTTTTCAACAAACCCGAAATTTGGTTCCGCCCATTCCAATTCGTTGCCAATCGGTTGGGCGTTGCAAATCGCGAAAATCGCGGCCGCGAAAACAAGAAGAGAAAAAACACGACGGAAAAACATCGCGTCAAGACCTGAAAATCGTACTTGCTCGCGAAAATGAAATATGCTTTTGTCGTGTTCTCGAATGTGAAATTGACACGTTACTAGTAAAAATGTGAAGTTGGCGTATGAAATGCGGAAAAACACTATTCATGGAATTTTTAATCGGGGATGAGGCGACAAAACGAAATTCGAGCAAGATTTTCTGAATGACAACACATCGCCCTTAAATGGTTTGAAATAAGACAAATAAATTGGTCAACACTCATTTTTTTGTGGTTTTTGGGGTCGAGTCGAGTGATGGATGATTCTGCATAAATGAGGAAACTAGTCTCATCAATCAAACATGTTTTTAGTTGAGATCGAAAAGAATGAATGCTGACATATAAGGAAGAATGGGAGCCGAAGAGATATTGTCGAAATGGTTTTTTTTAAATGCTTTGGATATTTTTTGATAGGTTCGCTAAATTGAATTAACCTTTTGAATAATAAATCTGAATGCATTTGGTTTATAGGTTTTTAACATATTCCAATAAATTGAAAACTCAAAATTCGCGAGATCCAGAGCGGGAATTCAAAAATTAAAAAAAAAAGATGTCATAATTACAGTAGATTTTAAGAGAATTTTCAGATTTTGACGTCGCATTTCGAATAATGGACAATATTTAAAAATTGCGAGGATATGGGAATAATCAGACATCAAGCCTACCCTAAAAGAGAAAATTTTATTCATGCATATATGCAGAAAATGAGTTCCTCGTAGATTTGCATATTCGGACTAGGGATCGGTGTAAGACCTGAATAAAGGCGCATTGTGCAAGATGACGCGAGTTTTCTTAAAATGTGTATATTTAACTTGATTGATTTGTGAGAATTTGAGTTCTCGTGACGAAATTTCGTTCTTTTTTCTTTGAAAACCGTCTTCTTCTCGAAATTCAAAAGTGTTCGTCTCGAGATTTCACAATTCAAATCTTTGATCTGCAAATTTCTAGCCACTCTATGCTTAAAATTCCAAAAATCAAGAATTTACAGACTCTAAAGCTCAATGATCTCAACGGACGAAAGTCGTAGAAGCAATAATGATGATGTAAGTCAGATAAAAAATGCAATGTATGCAAGTTTGCTCCATTGATAAATAATTCATTGCCGTCATATATACTTTTTTCTCTGACATTTACGAATTTGCGTACATATTTGGGCAGAAATGAGCGTAACCTAAAAGTGACCACATAAAAAATGCATTTTCGCAATTGCAACTAGTATTTTGAGCAGGAATTATATGCGGATATGCATACGTTTCCCAAAAAATCGGCCACCACAATTTTTCGCTGCAAGACCCAGCTCAGACGGTTCACGTTTCTATAAAGAATACGGGAAAGCACGCGAACCGCAACGCGTCTGACGACATTGAATAATTACAGTAGCCACTTTCTTTTTGGGAAACAGATTTTCTGGAACGCATTTCTTCATGTTTTGTGATTCAAACGCAATTCAAAGTTGAAATTTCACACCGGAAAATTGAATATTTATAGCAATTTTCGAGACAAGCTAAAAAAAAACGAATGAGCAGAATTTTTGACTGACTAATTACACTGTTTTTTTTTTTGGAAAAAAACACAATTCAACTTCATTTTAGAGGTTTTTTTTTTCTTTTAAAACGAATTGGTTTTGGGTAATTGGCAGAAAAAACGGAGACATTGAATATCGGAAACAGAAGGAGTCGATTTTCTGGAAAAGAACCTAACAATTTCTGACTGAGACGAATTTTAAAAAATGAAATTTGATGATTGATTAGTTTAATATCAAATTTCTAAAAATTTAATGAATGTTTCCCTACTGTGAAATTAGAAAATTAAGGATTGCTGTACAGTTTTTTTTTTCAGAAATAGAAACCGATTCAATAATTTCATACAGTCTAGAGGGAAAAACTGGGATAAACGAGGCTTCCAGAATCAGTCGCCACAAGACCCAATTCATTTTTCGCATTGCGAGCCTTTAATCGATTATTTTATTTATTTCAATTTCACGAATGAATTCCTCAAAATAGTCATGGGAATTTCAGAACATTTCAATCAAAAAAAAAAAAAATAATAAAAATGATTGCAAATCGAAAACTTAAAATCCAAAATCAGTGGTGGAGATTTTCGAATTAAAAAAAAAATATATATTGGATACGGTAAAGAAAGTCATTTCGGCTCGGCAATTCAAATTTCAATATCAGATATATCAGATAGATACAGATAATCTAAGAATCAAGATCAAAAACACTTATAACAAAGCGATTTTGTGGATTACACGAGCAATATTGAAAACCCACGTATAACTAAAAAAATTTCGTCGCAAGACCCAATTTTGAAAATAATTGTTTGAAAAAAAAATTAGTGGCTTATCATAAGATAAAATCATTATCCTTGTTTTCAATCTGCACATTATTCGATGCTAGAAAAACATAGAATTCAAATTTTTCAAGCTTTCAAGTTCCATGAATTTAGATTTCAGGTCCTCCAATGTAGATAAGTGCCAACAATTAGACGCCTTAAATTGTTACCACGTCATTCAATTTTTTTGAGTTTTGGAGAAATGACCAAAAGTTCCCAACGTGAACCCAAAAGCTAATCAATTTTCATTTTTCAAAATTGGATAATAATCATTGAAATGAATAAGTATTCGAATTGTTTCCTTTGATGTTCAATTTTTGTGTTTGGACCCTTTAAACAGGTTTTTAAAAAACTTTCTAATTATCATCATCATTAAAGATCAGATCATGTCGCAATTAATTGCCGCGATAACGAAAATACAACAAACCGTAAAATTCTCACATGACGACGCTACAACCAGAATTACGATTTTCGTTTATTTCTTTTAATCTGAGAATTTCAGAAAAATTCTAATAAATTGCAATAATGCCTAAAATTTTTTTGAATTGAGACACAATTTATAATCTATGCTTTATAATCACTATCCTTGAGCAAAGTCCATTTTTCCAAGTCTAGAAGCCGCTTTCAAATACATAGTTTCAGTTTTATGGCAACTTCTCGATTCTGAATGTTACAGCCGAAAAGAAATGCATGAAAATTTTGATCAAATCGAGAAATCACGTTCATTTTTGTGCCGCGATTTTTTTCTTATTCGCCATATTTCCCACTTGCCGCCTTTCGTCTCTCAATTCGATTTTGTCTCGCAACACCCGGCTGATGTACGAGAACGCGTCTCGCGTATCAGCCGAACTGCGTTTTATTATGAATTTTGATTATTATTATCGATATTAATTGTCACAATTCTCACCAATATTTTCGCCTGACATTTTCCTACAGCCAATGAGTCTCGGGTTCGCAATCGATCGCGGCGGCACATTCACCGATGTGATCGTGTTCAAACCGAATGGCGACGTGCAAGTGTTGAAGGTTCGTTGGCTAGAGTGTAGCCGAAACTTTGAGTGCTCAAGAACTTGTTAAGGTGCTCTCGGTTGACCCGGCTAACTATGCTGACGCGCCAACCGAAGCAATTCGACGGGTACTTGAGGAATACACCGGCGAGAAAATACCTCGCGGAGTGCCACTGCCAACGGGTCAGTTTTTCAAAACTTTAAAGAAATTCCAAATTTCTCGAAAAATACTTCACAATCCAGGCTGAAACCAGATTCCCCATTTTCTCGCAGAAAAAAAATTAAAAAATTGAGCAGCGCGAGTGTTTGTCTGCATTTGGCCGCTACGCAGATTTGCACACTTGGGCTACCGTATACCTAGGATTAGAAAATTTTTGTTGGATCCCCTAAAATAACAATTTTTAACAGCATTTTTTATTTTAGTAGCTTGAAAATCTACTTATTAACATTTTTCGAAATTGTAGAGTTGTTTAAAAATAAAACTAATTCCGGATTTTTTCGAGTACTTCCATAAAAACAAATGTTAAAATTTTAATTGCAGAATCGATATCATGGATTCGAATGGGAACCACAGTAGCCACCAACGCGCTGCTAGAACGTCAGGGGGAACGTGTTGGACTTCTGGTTACAAAAGGGTTCAAAGACCTACTGTTTATCGGGAATCAATCAAGACCTGACATTTTCGCATTCAACATTTGTATTCCTGACGTATTATACGAAGATGTCATCGAAGTTGACGAACGCATTTTAATCAATGATCAAGTTGCCGGATTGGGTCTTGACGCAAATATCGAAAAGGCGATAAATGGATGTGAAGTGGTTGTAGAGAAGGAAATCGATGTGACGAAGCTTGAGGCAGATTTAGGCGCTTTTAAAGAAAAAGGAATCAAGAGTATAGCAGTATTATTTTTACATTCTTTCATGTAAGACATCAAAAAACACGGCTGAAATCAGAGAAAAATTAGATTTTAGATATCCAAAGCATGAAATTGAAGCAGGACGAGTTGCGAAAAAATACGGGTTTGAGCACGTTTCACTTTCGCATGAGGTTATGCCAATGATTAAAGCGGTCCCGAGAGGATTTACAGGTTTTCTTTTGCTTTTATTATTAATTCATTATTAATATAATATTTTAAGTATGCGCCGATGCTTATTTAACACCGAAGATTCTCGAATATCTTCGAGGATTTCGATCAGGATTCACAGATTTGTCGAATGTTACCGTCAATTTTATGCAATCTGATGGGGGATTATGCGCAATGGACAGGTTAGAGTGTTAGGAAAATTGAAAATTTTACAAAAAAAAATTGGCGAGTAATTCTTCCAAAAGTTGGAATGAAAAAAAAAACTAATTTCGCTTGTTTTCTTTCGCTTTTAAAATTCAATTATTATTTGAAAATAATTGATTTAAGGTTCTATGGATCCCGCGCGATTCTCTCGGGACCCGCTGGCGGTGTAGTCGGTATTGCGAGCACCGCTTATAAGGAGAATGACAAGAAGGCGGTTATCGGATTCGATATGGGAGGAACATCAACAGACGTGAGAAACGCTCCTTCTTTTCAAAAAGTATTGAAAACGGAATTTAGGTTTGCCGGTATTCTGGAGCATTGGAGCACGTAATGGAGTCGACCACCGCTGGTGTCACAATTCAAGCGCCGCAGGTAATTTATTCAGAAAAGAAAAAAACCAACTCATCAACAAAACCTGCTCATTCTTTCACGCGCAACCCAAAATATTTAATTTTGCTCATGAATTATTCAGCTTGATATCCACACTGTTGCTGCTGGTGGTGGATCTCGCCTCTTCTTCCGCAATGGGCTTTTCGTGGTGGGACCCGAGTCGGCCGGCGCGCATCCCGGTCCAGTTTGCTATCGCAAAAATGGGTTATTTTATCGTCGAATTCGTCGATTCATTCAGATTTTGTTTAGGTATTTGACGGTTACCGACGCGAATTTAGTGTTGGGACGAATTCTTCCGGAATTTTTCCCGTCAATCTTCGGCCCAAACGCGGACTTACCGTTGGATCGTGAAGCTTCTTATAGGGAAATGAAAAAGCTCACTGATGAAATTAATGAATTCATGGAAGTCGAGGGAATTGCGAAGAAATACACTGTTGAGGAAGTAAGAAATGAAAAAGGAGCCCTCATCTCTCATAATCTGTATCATTAGGCCCCTCTGTTGTCAGTCTTTCCTCAAGATCGGAACCTCTCGAGACTTTCCAGAGGGGAGGCTTCATATTCATTTTTATCTCATTGGGCACCAGCGGGGTTCCGAACCCGCAAAGTGTTCCGTGCGTGCGCACAAATCATCGCGTTACGCTATAGTCCACTTTGTGGGTCTCGCCGAGTGCGTATAGAAAAATTGGTGGCGCAGAGATAGCGAGGAGAACGGCAACACCAAATACTAGTGGCTGGATTACAGGTGGCACTTGGATTTGTCTCGGTGGCGAATGAGGAAATGTGCCGTCCGATTCGCACGTTGACTCAATCACGCGGTTACGATCCTTCTGTTCACGTGCTGGCTTGCTTTGGCGGCGCTGGCGGGCAGCACGCTTGCGCTGTTGCCAGAGTTTTGGGAATTGGCCAAGTTAGAATCCATAAGTATGCCTCATTGCTTTCCGCGTATGGAATTGCGTTGGCCGATCTTGTCGATGAAGCTCAACGTCCAGTACACCTCTCATACTCGCCAGGTATCCAATACCGAGCTTCCAGTAGTTTTAAAATCGAATTTCAATTGAAGAGAACTTTGAAAATTTGCATCAAATGTTCAAAGAGCTTCGTGAAGAATCGCGAGCGCGACTCGTTTCTCAAAACGTTGAAAATGAGAATATCGAGTTTGTTTATTTCATGCATATGCGATATGAGAAAACGGATTCGGCCATAATGATTTCCTCAAAATTCACGGTAGTTTAGACAATTACTAGAATTAATTTGAACACTTCGAATTTTAGGATTGCGATTCGAAATGCCTTGCCGATTTCAAAAGTGTGTTTTTGGAGACTTACCAAAGAGAATTTGGATTTATTCTTGAGAAACGAGGAATAATTGTTGACGATCTGAGGTTTGTGAATTTATGATTTTGAAAGAAAATCTAATTAAATATTTCTGTAGGATCCGATCTATTGGGAAATGTAATTGCCCATCTGAGCAGGAAATCCCACCAGCAGTCGCCGAGCCAATTTCCAGAAAACTCGCCAACGTCTACTTCGATTCTGGCGATGTTGAGACACCGGTTTTCATACTGTCTGACCTTCGCGCTGGTCATTCGATACCTGGTCCAGCTCTTATAATTGACAACAATAGCACAATAGTTGTGGAGCCGAATAGTCGCGTGAGAATCACGAAACAAGGCAACATTGAAATGGAAATTGGTCGTGATTTCGAGAAGGACATTGGCGTTGAAGTGGACCCGATTCGACTGGCGATTTTCAGCAATCGTTTCATGTCGATCGCCGAGCAAATGGGGCGGGTCCTGCAGCGAACCGCAATATCAACGAATATCAAAGAGCGTCTAGACTTTTCTTGTGCGCTGTTTGCCCCCGACGGAGGTCTCATCGCGAACGCGCCGCACATTCCAGTCCATCTTGGTGGAATGCAGTACACGGTGAAATTTCAAATCGATCACCTCGGCGTTGATGGAATCAAGAACGGCGATGTGATTCTTGCGAATCATCCGATTGCCGGCGGATGCCATCTTCCAGACTTCACTGTCATCACACCGGTGTTCTTCAAAGATCAGAAGCATCCGGTGTTCTTTATCGCGAATCGCGGACATCACGCCGACATTGGTGGTCTTGTCCCCGGCAGTATGCCTCCGAATGCCACTCATATCGATCAAGAAGGCGCCGCATTCATCTCGTTCAAACTCGTCGAAAACGGCGTCTTCCAGGAGGAGAAGCTCATCGAAGCACTCGCGGCACCTGGCAAAGTGGCGAATTGCTCGGGAGCCCGAAACATCGCCGACAATATTTCGGATTTGAAGGCGCAGATCGCCGCGAACAACAAGGGCATTTCGCTGGTGTGCGGGCTGATCGAGGAATATTCGCTGGATGTCGTACATGCCTACATGCGACATATTCAGAACACCGCTGAACAAAGTGTTCGCGATATGCTTAAAAAGGTTGGTGTTTGAATGTCTAAAAATTGCCATTTCCTTTCAAAATTTAGGTTGGCAAGAGAGTTCAAATGGAGAAGGGATCTAGTCGTCTTGAAGCTTCGGATTTTATGGATGATGGAACTGAAATTCATTTGACGATTGATATTGACATTGAGCAGGTTTTAACGGAGAAATGATGATTATTCGAAAATGTGTATCCTTCTAGGGTAGCGCGATTTTCGATTTTACCGGAACTGGAGTTGAATCGGCGAGCTCGTGCAATGCTCCGAAAGCGGTCACAATGTCGGCGATCACTTATTGTTTGAGATGCCTTGTCGGAAAAGATATACCGCTGAATAATGGATGTTTGGCGCCTGTACAGGTAAAAATAATATATTTTTGAGCACTTATAGACATGTATTGTTCTGAAAAAATATGCCCTTGAGACACCAGAATTTCTGTCTTTTAAAACCATTTTTGATTATTTTGGTTCTGGCAAAAAAGTTATAATAATAAAAAACGGATAATTTAAAAAGTTTTAATATGCTCATTGCGAATATGCCCTTTTATCCAAAATAGTAATTTAACAGATCATTATTCCTCCCGGCACGATTCTCAGCCCTTCTCCAACCGCGCCAGTGGTTGCTGGCAACGTTCTAGCCAGTCAGAGACTATGCGACGTCATCTTCCGCGCGTTCGAAGTCGTCGCCGCGAGTCAAGGCTGCATGAATAATCTGGTGTTCGGCGATGAATCGATCGGCTACTACGAGACGATTGCTGGCGGATCGGGAGCCGGCGACGGTTTCGATGGACGCAGTGGAGTGCACACGCACATGACGAACACTCGAATCACGGATCCCGAAATTCTCGAAAGCCGTTATCCGGTTATTTTGAGAGAATGGAGATTAAGGACGGAAAGTGTCGGTGGCGAAGGAAAATGGAAAGGCGGTAAAGGAGTTGTACGAAGTTTACAGTTTGCCAGACCGTTGACAATGTCGTTGCTCACTGAACGCAGGTTTGAATTTTGAGTGGTTTTAAAAATGTTTGTAATTTTAGAGCCCTTCAACCCTATGGAATGAAAGGTGGAAGCAATGGAGCACGTGGTTTGAATCTTTTGAAGCGCGGCGATCGCTTAATGAACATTGGTTCGAAAGTGAGCATGATTATGGAAGCAGGAGTATGTTGATATGCTTATTTCAAATGAAAATATTTATTTCTCAGGATATTCTTACAATTCAGACACCGGGCGGTGGAGGATATGGAAGCCCATTGTAAAATAATATACATTTGAATAATATAGATTCCATTTATAGATCTGTGGTTTTCTCTCAATTCACTTTTTTTTTAGTTTTTTTCGGGAATTTATATAAATATTTTTTTTAGGCCTTGAATTGTTTTTAAGATCTACACTTTCCTCTTCTAGAGGTTACGGTAGATTTGTGGCGGGAAATTGCGGAGCAGTTGAATTTGAATTGTGTGTTTTCACAGTTTTCTTCGATTTTCCCTTAAAAATCCTCATCCATTTTTCTGCAGAAATGTTTCGATTATTACTAATCCTGCTTGTAATTTCCACATGTAACAGTCAGCTCACCAATATAAATGAAGAGTCGATGGATTTCTTGACGAGCATGCTTGGTAGTTACTGAAATTGAGCGATTTCGGCGATTTTTTCATTTTTTTTCCAGAAGCTTTTCAAGGAAAAAATCGTGTAAATTTAACGCAATTCATGTATTCATTTGAAATGCCTGCATGTGTTCGTCGCTGTATGCCAGATGTTGGGAATCTGGACGTCGTATTCCGAACGAAAGAAAGCGAACAAGCGATGAAGAATATTTGCGCGTAAATTTCCTCAAAACCCACTAGCAATTCTCTTTTTTGCGTGATTTAGAAACATGAAAAATTCGACGCGATGCGCGAAAATTTCTGGTTGCTCGCATATGTTCACAGATGTCATGACCAACGCCTTCAAGTTCATCTGCATCGAGAATATCGATAGTAATTAAATAAATAAATAAATTATAGTAATTAAATAAATGATTTCAGAAATGTCAGAACAGTTAGAATGCATTCAAATGGCCACCGATGATTTGCACCAGGATTGCGAGAATGAATGCGCTGTTCAAGCAAGCTTCATCAACAAAGCGTCACATAACAAACCAAAAGAGATTCTGAGTATGGAGAATATGTGCAAGTACTCTATTTAATTTACTATCATGATAATTTCCAATTTTATTGGATAATAATCTGGAATTGTTTCAGCTCCACGACATGCCTGGCTCGCTGTTATCATGACAACTTGTCAGAGAGATGCAGCATGGGCGAGAATTTCCTCGACTCGATTCTATCGACAGTTTCGTTAAATGGAGAACGTTATGATTTTGACAAAATTCTTAATATTGTTATGCCCGCTGATTGCAAAGATCATGTATTTTTGAAGCGTTTTCATTTTAAAAATTTTGAGAAAAAAGTTTTAGACATTCAAGTTGAAAATCCCTGAGAAGATTTCAATTGATGTGAGCAAGCCGAAAAGTGTCGGAAAGGTTTTTTTTTTGATATACCTTATACTTCAATTGAAAATATTGATTAATTAAGCCTCGTGATGGAAAACTGCTTGACTCGCTAATTGATGATGATGAGGAAGCTTCCGGACTCGTCGAGGAGAATCTCAATTCGATCAATGAGCAAAACTCGCTGAACACCACACTTCTTGTAAATGGGAAACTTCAGTTTTTACAATGCCATCTGACGGATACCGATGGAAATTCGATTGAGATGGAAGATTTTGAGGAATTGGCGAAATTGCTAATTGTAAGCGTTTTAATTATGCTTACAGCAACTGGGAAATGGACAAAAAATTGTTGAAAATAGATACTTCTTTTGTCTGAATGATTTTTCATCCATTTTGAATCCAATTTTTGTCATTTTACCCGTTGCAGAAGCAATTTGATTGTTTAGGCAAAATATGAGGAAACTCACCTGAAACTGACGAAAAAGGTGAAGAAATCGCTGCCGGAAAATCGAGTAAACTCGCAATCGACAATCCTTTCATTTTTTGCCTTAGTCCCACTTTTTGTATTCTTGCTGTAGATTTGTCTCATTTTGTTTCTTACAATACAATGCATGCCTCGTACCGATCTTGTTTTCATGATGAATGGGTTTTTCTCAATTGCCACAATATATCTAATCACGTTTTCACATTTTGAATGCAAATTTTTTTTGGAAGAATGTCAGTTGGATACGTGGCCGATAATAAGACGGTCCAACCGGCGCAGCTCGTGCAAAAATGGACAGGCCCGACGTATAGCATTCCGATCGACGTGGCAGCGGAATTCTCGAACATTCCGAATTTTCCTTGGGATCCCAAGGGTACGAATAATAAGCCGACGACGCGATATGAGAAATCGGTAAGAGTAATTTATTGCCAATTGAAAATTTGAAAATTGTGGGAAAAGTGAACAATGTTGTAATGCGCCTTTAAAAGGTCTCAAAATGCGAGATAAATCGAACAGAAATAATATAATAAACTAGGCGGTGATCAAAAATTATTTTATCATTTATGGGATTATTTATGCAATAAAATTACATTTTATGCATATCTCCATAAAGTAAAAAGGAGTCAAATCGAATGAAAACTATTTTGAGAATTCTATTGCGAATTTCAGCTATGGGAAACGTTCGGTCCGAAAGTGATGTTCTCGAAAATCAATTACGGCAACATAAGCTCGATCGCCAAATCTGATGGATCAATGACGGATCTTTCTGACGCATCGGTCGGTTTTACGTTTTGAGAAGGCTCTTCAATTCTTTGAAATGTTCAGATCGGCTTCTATTCGGATGAGAACTCGACGGAGCAGGAATGTCGAGAGCGAAGGAATATGGTGAAGAACACGAAACGCGAACGTCGAATGTTGGCGATCTTCAAAAAGCGCAACTGTAGTGTATAAACAGAAAACAACCAAGTTTTATTAAATTTGAATATCGATTTGCGATAATTTTCAAACTTACGAATTTGAATTTTTCGGGCTGATTTTTAAATGTTCCTTTGAAACAATTTTCATTAATGCCTTCTTTTATGAATTATTTCATGATATTTTGAATTTACTCTTTATGATGATTAAAGAGGAAAGAAATAGAGAAGTTTCAATTTAAAGCCCTACTTCAAAATTCAAATTTATAGTAGTTTTTCTGATTCATTCCAGACATGATTAATTAAATTGAATAAATCATTTTCTAATATTTAAAGTTTCTGTAGCTCATTGCTTTAATAAGCATATTAATAGAAAAAATAATCATTTGTATAAAACAATAATGTATTAACAAAAACAACAATCCGATTTCTGTCCTAATTAAATAATAAAATGACTAATCGAAATAGTCTCGTGTCGAATAGCCGCTGGACAACAAATTATGCACTTTTGCGTGTCCGTGGAGTCCCGACAAATCCGATTTCGACAAAGTAAATGACTGATTCGGCGGAGGTTCGACCGGGGGAGTATCGAGGACTCGAACTGGTGGAAGAGCACGAACTTTTCTACCAAAATAGCCATCTTTCTTGTGGAATAGTCCGCTTGACATTTTGTATCCGAATCTGAAAAACAGCCAGTTAATTTTGGTTAAATATAAACATTATCATTATTTTTATTGGATATTTTTTCTAATTTTTGGCAATTTCTAATTTGTGGATGGAACCTTGATTTTAATTGGAATATATAACGTGGAAGTTAATATATCATCAGAATTGCTAAACCACTGACAATTGACAACAAAAAAAGAGAACACTGAAGTGCTTATTATCTTATTGCCTATTTTGGGGCGACTGGGCCTACAAAAATTTTCTCCCAGATCCGAAATTTGACAATCTTGGTTCAATCAAACCTTCTATGCATTTGGGCAGATCCGAAAATCTTTCCATCAATATCAGCATGCGATAATCGTCCAACTGTTGCCATACACGTTCGATGAAGTGAGAACTCATGCTTGTGAGGAAGCTGAAAATAAATAAACACTATCATCGTTAACCATAATAGTGAAATAATTTTCAATATTTATTATTAATTTTGTCTCAAATTCAGTAGTTTTCTTTCATTTGAATTATACCTTAACTACTGTGAAATCTCCTTGGTGTCGTACAATTGTCGCTGCGAGACCAGCGGCCTTCACAAACACTTCCGAATCGTTTGTTGGGTATCGTTCTATACAATTTACAAGGGTCCCTGCAGCGAGTGAACCAATCGGATACGCATTTCCTTCAATTCCAATTACGGGATTTTCCGGTAAATGTCCGGTGGTAGAAATGATATCGCCAGCTCTGGAATTTAATTTTTAACGATAGCTTTCACACTTCACTTTTGAAATACTTCATATTTTCAGTGGCAAGAATCCATCGTTTCGTGTTGAGACCAGCGACAAGCGCAATATGACACGTTCTGTTGGGATCTCTGCGAACCTCCAGAACTCTTTCATCGTATTTTTCGCCCGCTCCAGTCGGGCCTCGTCTATGATAGTCGATCATGAAATAATCGAACTTGACTCCTCCGCCAATGTGCTGATTAACTTTCCGACCAGTTTCAGGATCGCGACCTCCAAGCCTAAAAACTTAATTGAATAAAAAGATCTTGTTTTTGACCAACTTATTAACTCTCAGTGGTTTATGTGTGTATTTTCCGCCTGTTATCTCGTTCAAATGATCCATGTCCCATAAATAACGCGGTAAAGGTTTTGTTCCCCGAGCTGGCATAAATCTTTTCGTGATCAGTACCCGAGAAGTTGAGCTGATTAATTTTAATGCATTCATTTCTGTTGTCAATGTCCCAATCATTGTGGAAATCGGCAAAAAATGCTGCAAAAGATTATTTAAGTAATTAAAAAAACCTCAAACATTAAATTGTGATAAGATTATTGTTTTCAATTATAATACGTATTTGAACCGAGGTAACAACGATATGAGGCAAAAAATTAGAAAGTCCGAAAAATTAACTGACGATTCGAAATGAGCCAATGCTAACGTTCACTGACGCATTTGTTGATCTTTTTCATCATCACCGATGTCGCAAAAATAGAGGTGATTTTTGGAAAAACCAAAATAATTGATGACAAGGTTTTTGCTTTTATAAAACACAAAACAGCGAATATGATCGAGAATATGATTGGGACCTTGTTTGAATCGCCGCCACACCAAACTGAAAATTGTGAGGCATCCAGCAAAATGTCCACAGTTAAAAAAATTAATTTTACAAAAACCGAAGTTAAGAAAGGATGAAGGATAGATGATAATAGACGGGAAAAATACAATGGCAATAAATGTGGTAAAATAGTTAACATTTAAAGCAAGACAGAGTCTAAAACAAAGGCTATTTAAAAAAAAAAGATTGTTGTAAACAGAGCCGAAAAATAAAATTTCCGGAAAACTAAGAATCATAAAAATTGGGGTAAAGTTGACATTTCACATCTTGAAAATGTTGCTCCGAGTCTCTATTTGAATTTGCGCGATTTATTTCGAAATTCGAGGTCAACTTTTCTATTTTTTTTTTTCAGTTTTTTGCCGATTGAAACCATACCGTAAGCGGAAAATAACGATGATGATTGTGATTTTCCACAATCGGATAGTGGTTTTTGGGGGATTATTGAATGCTCAGATGCAACGAAAAGGTCGAACCAGATGTCAGCATTTTTTTCGATTTTCGTATTTTTCAGGACGAAAAGTTAAAAGAAAAACAGTTAGGCTTGGAAAATAAGAAATGAACTGCCTGTAAAACGTCTCTTTCTGAAAAAAAATTAATTTGAATTGATTTTCTGCGTAAATTTCGAGCCCTTGAGAGCAAAGAAATAAGAATATTAGCATTTTTATTTTTTTTAACCTTACCCAAAAAAAAATTTTTTTAACAGACGGAAATTACACCATCTTAATTAAATTACAACATTTTAGTTAAAATCAAATATGTGATGTAAAAATGAGTGCCCGGATCATGATAGTAAAAAATCGATAGCGGAGAAGCAGTAATAAAAAATTCTTGGCAAATATCGTGCAATTCTTGGAAAAAAAACCATATATTATGTAAAATTTATTCAATTTTTAGGCAGTTAATTCTTAAAAGACAAATTATCACGTGAATATAAAAAATATCAAAACCAACGTGGTTTCATTTTAATTCATTTACCAAATTTTACCAGTGTTTTGTGTCGTCCATTATTTTGATGAAGAGATCTGGAAACAACTACATTACTAAGAATTATTAAGGTAATTAGGAGGTTTAGCTAAATTAACCAAAATATCAAAAGAACGAAAGAAACTAGTTCAAACGAGTTTATTTAGAAAAATTAAAGAAATTCCGCAATATGTCGTCATTTTAGTTGCTTACGAAAAATGATTACAGTAATCAAAACGCCACGTTTTTATTGCCGTCGTGTTTCATTTTTACTTTCATGGTGATTGTTGTCAAATTTTTATAAATTTTCTTTAAGTTTTTGCTTTTTGTTCTATAGAAAATAACAAAGTATTTATTTTCAGACCAATTTTACTCAGAATATTTTGGTTGAGCTATTCATTCGACGATAAGTGTCTAATAAATATTCATGTAAGTGCTTTCTTCTTCTTTTTTGTTTTTTTAAAAACAGTTTTCAACAAAGTTTGTTAAAATTAAAAAATATTTTGAATGTTGCGATTTCCCTGTGTCCCGAAATCGAAGGTTCCGAACCGCTGTGAGCGTGTCTCGAGAACATTCGTTGAGTCGGATTTGAGAGAGCCCGCACGGACGCCGCGTTCTCGTGCCACGAGACGCGGACCAACGTCCCGCTTCGGTGGCCCATAGGGTCCGACCCAGGAGGGTAATGCCTGGGGAAGTCTAGGCGCACACGGTGGAGTGGCGTCGGGACTATTCGATGAAGGGACCGCCAAATTGGCAACACATTTTTAAAGGTTTACTTTTTTCACTAAAAACGCAACGCCATTAATTAAACGCTTAAAATGTTGATAATAATCAAAAGAAAGTTACTTTTAATTATAATTCAATTAATTAAAATTTTTCATGAACACCGTGCGATGACATGACCAACACGAAAATTAATGGCAGGACAGGACTGCAAACAGTGACATTTTTTACTTCTTTAACCTTTATTTTAAATATTTTGTTTCAGATCGAAAAATTTTGAAACTTAATGAAACATGTGAGCGGATCGAAGTGCAATTACAGTGACGATTTTCCCTTTATTTCAAAAATTAAATGTTGAATTTCAGATTTGGAAGATGGGTCACACCCTAGGCATAATCGAGTGGTAGAGTGTAAACAATCATTTCGTTCATTTATTGATAGAACATTTTTAGAATTTCGTTTTGAAACTCAAATATCTGGCGATCGGAATCTCACAGCTTCAGATGATGCCCGTATGGTTTCAATAATTTGAAAAAAAAAAACCGTTTAGCATCAATAGATTTTCAGGTATACACGAAGAAGAAAGAAAATAACGTAAAATAGGGAATGAAGATATTTTTAAGTGAGGTATTTTTCAAAAGTTGGAAATATTGTTTTTGCTATGACTGACGAAAATTGACGAGTTCTGTTCCATCGTTCATTAAAAGCCTTGTTAATTAGAGCATTCTAATTAGTTTTCAAATTGAAAATTGAATCAGAGCTTAACTCCAAAATACATTTGATGTTATAACATACTTTCGACGTGGTGGATCGGACTGAATCTGATTTTTCTGTCATAGATATTTAGATATTCTATTTCGATTTTTTCACTTGTTTGATTGAAATCAAGTAAAAAACACAATTTTTATTCTGAAACAGACCGTAGAATCGAAAAGTTGAAGTAATTAAAAAAAGTGTTATGCCCGGCATAGCCACTCAAATCCCGCTGGTTAAATTTACGATTCGAAACGGTTTTTGGCACACTGCGGCAGTATAAACTTTACTTTTAGCAAAAAGAGGCGAAAGATAAATGAGCGACGCAGACAACATTTCGTTTTTCTGTTTCTACCGTAGTTCGAATCAAGCTATAATTCTCGCTCTTCTATGTGGTAGAACCCAACACATTATTCCTGTTGTGTTCCTGATCGCCAGTTGTTGTGTCCTTGTGAACGAGCCAACGTAGAGAATATATTTATTAGACACAACTATGAATAACTGATTATTGAGCATAAAAAGGGGTTTTTATATCGCTCCTATGAAACGTGTGCCACGTGGTGTGTCACGTGACGTGTCGAGGTCACGGCTCCAACATCTCCCTCGCTAGTTCGAAACATAGGTGTTTCGGGATGAATTGATCTGTGGTAGTCTGACCGGCTTCGCGATCCTTGTTCTTGGAGAAGCGTTTCCATGCGGGTGTGATGACGAACCTGGTCGGCGGTGAAGGGCAGGTTCGAGCAGCGTTCGGTCCGATCGGCGATGACTTCAGCTTCGACGGCGGCAATGACTCGATCTTCGTTCTCCATAGTGCGGGCATGTTCCGATATGAGATGAGAGAGTGCGTCGGCAGCGGCATCGTCCGTGAGCAAGAGAGAGCGGGGAATGTGCTGGATCCAATCCAGTCCGAGGAGTGTGGCAGTATCGGCTACATGACAATATCCGGATCCGTGTTGTCCATTGATGATGAACTTGCAGTTGAACCGTCCTTTGAGGCGAATCCTGTTGTTGTTAGCGGCTTTCAGATTGACGTTGGCAGGCTCGAGCGATGGTTTCCCAAGTCGAATCCAATCCTTTGTTGAGACTAGCGAGATATCGGCGCCAGTGTCCAATTGCATCTTGACGTCGGTTCCATTGATGTTCACGTTCTTGAAGATCCGGTTGCTCTTGTTGATCCATGCGTGGTTGACTGAGATGAGTCCCAGATGTCCTCCTTGACGTCCTCTGCGGGATCCTTGGCGTTCCCGGCGGGATTCTGGGTTTCGTCTGCTGTCCGTTCGGTTGCGGTTGCAGTCAGCATTCCAGTGAGGTCCTCCACAATGTCTGCATGGTGATGGTGGCTTCTGCTGCGTTGTTCGCTGTTCTGGTTGTGGTTCGGGTGTCCTCGCCTTCGGGGTCGAGGTTCTTCGTGACGTCGTTGATCGTTGTTGGTGGTGGTCCTCTCTCGACATAGCAAAGATGTGCTGGTGGTCGTGATGAAGTCCTTTGATTGTTGGCGAATTGAGGAGTTTCGCGTCGTCCTTGATTCCAAGAATGCGCAGTACGTCCGCTTGCAATTCGTCCAAAGTGATGCTCGGCTTTGACTCCAGTTGCTGCAGAGCCCGGGTGCGTACGTCCATGAATTCCGGTCCGTTGAGACCCATGATCCAGACGAGAATCTGGGTTTGCTCCGGCGTCGTCGTTGCCCATTCTGCTTGCGCGAACTTCCTCTTGATTTGGCCAGTGTATTGAACAAGATCCGAACCAGTGAATTGCGATTGCAGAAATTCGAATCGGCGTCGGAATACAGACTTCGAGTGTCCAAAGAGAGTCTTGAGCCGGGTGATGGTCTCTTCGAGCGTCAGATCCGATGGTTTCCTTGGCAGGATGTTGTCGGCGTACTTGGCGAAAGCGGGGGCATCGAGCTTTGATAGGATGATCCTGGTTTGGGTGCCGTCGTCCAATGTTGATCCATCCAGTCGCAGAATGTCCTCGTACCGTGAATACCAGATTTCGAATGTGGTTCCTTCATCCGGGTCGAAGGAGAATGTCGGTAGTCGAGTCGTCAGCGAGTCGATAAGCCCTGTTTGGGTGTTTGGTTGTGCGGGAGCGGTTGGTGAAGTGCCTGGTCGTCCCT